GCTCCTATCATATGCTTTGCTATAGACTCAGATTGTAGTTTGTATTGTAATAAAAGTTTATGCTGTTACCTTTCTTACTTTTGATTTTATTAGAGTTAAAAACAAAGAACAATACTACAAATGCCACATTTTATTTGTTTCAGAAATAAATTTGGATGCTTCCTTCCATGTGTGATGTTTGATGTAACTAATGTTATATCATATTCATTACAATAAGTCATGATCTGGTTATATCCCAATGTTAGATAAGAATACATTTCATGCACATTTCAAATCTCATATTAATCAAATGTAACTCATTCAACATTTTTTTTTACATTATAACAGTTTTTTTTAATAAGTTTGCCATCATCCTCAAGTAAAATTACACTGAAACAACTTTACTATGCTGAACATAAAGAGACTGTGTTACAATACTGATGCCACTACATTTAAACCACTGCTGAAAAAAACTGCAAACCATAAGGAAGAGTAATCATAATTACCACTGATAAATATCAAGTCCTTAGTGATAATCTACTCTGCTTAATGAAATATGGGAGACAAAAAATTTTACATTTAAATACTATACTATTCCTATTGATCTAGCACTTTACAACCATAGCACCAATTAATATGTAAATATACTTTATAAAATCCAGTTTATTTGTGACATAGTCAATACATAACACAAACTCAGTATATATCTACCACAACTTTGTACACAGAACAAACTCAATAGAAAACTTCTTTTATCTTGTTCTTTAGTAATTTCATTCCAAATATACATACTTCCTATAGAATCTTCCAAGTACAAAACTAGAAAAATATTTTCAGTCTTATTTAATTTTCAGAGAATATCGTATTATAAATCTGACCCAATTTTTTTTTAATCATCGTACAATGGAAAGTCACTTTTGAGCAAAAAAGTTGCAACTAGAATTTTTCAGTACTTTTTCTGAATTTTCACAATTTCATTTTGTTTTAAAAGGGTTGAAATCATCCCCGCCAAACACTCTTTATTTACACACAAATCCTAAATTAAACTAGAGGGTCATGGCCCTTAACGGTCATCTGACAATCGACAAATGGATGGATAAACCCCAGAATTTGTTGATGTGGTTTGACAAATATGACTGATTCAAATTTTGAACATTTCCTCAAAGTATAAACTCATAAATCATAGGTTTTGTGCATGAAAAACAGTTGTGCAATCAAGTTACAGAATGACAACTCACTACTGTGGGTACCAAGTTTTTATCAGGCTGAAAATAACAACATATCATCTCTTTCTTTTCTTTCACAAACAAAATTCAAAATATTTTTCTCAATGGTGTGAAGAATCTTGAAAAGTAGTTCAGACTATTTGTTCTAGATGAGTTTTGTTGGATTTTGGACCAAATCAACATAAATAAGATTTGGACAGGACAATCTCAGGATCACTTCATACACGTTTCACATTCAGTGATCATTGCCACTCCATGATAATGTTTCAGGCCAAATTTGGTTGCAGTCTACCTTGGCATTAAGAAGGAGTAGCGTTCTGGAGCAAAATATTGTCTATCTTCCCTTGGGGTCGAATCACCTATTTGAATATAAGAAATGATTCCCCACTCATAATGATCTTTCAGACCAACTTCGGTTGAACTCCATTCAAGCATTAAGGAAGAGTAGCATTTAGAAGCAAAATATTGAATTTTAACTTCCCCATTTGGGGCCCTGGTCCTAGGGGTCGAGTCAACTTTCTGAATTTAAGAAATTATAACCTACATGTATCTACCAAGGGAAAAAATCTAATTTGGTCAGGACAATCTCGGTATTACTTCATACACTTTTGATACTTATTGCTTATTTCAACTCTGTGATAATGCTTCTGACCAAATTTGGTTTAAATCCATTCAGACATGAAGGAAGAGTAGCATTTTGAAGAAAAGTATTGTCTAAATACTCATTTGGGGCCCATCCCCAGGTCCTTAGAGGTCGACACAACATTCTGAATTCCCAAAATAATTCCCTGTCCCCAATAATGTGTCATACCAAATTTGGTTGAAATCAGCCAAGACGTTAACCAGGAGTTGTGTATTTAAGTAAAAGTTTACAGATGGCGCACAGCATACGATGACGGATGATGTACAATAACAACAGGGTATCTTGACCCTTTGGGTCAGATGACCTAAAAATAACGCAAGAAAAAGGATGTTCTTGTAAGTGAAAATGATGATAAGGAAAGCTAGGAACCAATAAACAGGAGATACATTAAATATTTTGGAATGTCATACAAAAGAAAAAATGCTATAGAAAACATGAGTTGTATTATATGTATTACAAAAACACTATAAAAATATAAACATTCATCGTGTACTACAAATCACTACAGAAGAGTTGAAGAATAGATGAAATGATATGCCATGCATGTAACATTGATCATATTGCACAAACACTTAATCACAGCCTTTAATTAGAAAGTGGAAATCATTCTTTCTCACCATTTATATGTCAACTAAATCATTTTGTATAAATGTATTGATAAGAAATTGTATAACTAGTTTATAAATCAACATATTTGACCCCTGTGATCTTCAAAGTGGGTTAAGGTCATATATTTCATAACGCTTCATCCTAGGATGTTCCTGGCCAAATATTATGATCTTGGGACATCTAGTTATTCAGAAAAAACGTTTTAATCATCATGTTTGTCAATAGACATTTTGAAAATAGATCAAAGTTAAGCATGAGAGCACACATTAAAGTCCTTCACCCCAGCAAATTACTGGTCAAGTATCATGGCTCTACAGATCTTGGATATTAAGAAGTTGTTAGAAGGTGACACAGAACATACATTACATCTTTTTGGCAAATGAGTTAAAATCAAAGCAGTCAAATTTCTTTCTACACTTTTTTAAACTCTACAATAAAAAGCAAATGTATTATATAGAAAAAACAGTGTCAGTCAAAGAATTTCCTTTTCCTGTCTATTATAAATTCACAACAACTATCCAGGCCACATGGGTAAGATTAGTAGAATCTGTTAAGTGTATGTGAGATAGGAGACTGATTCATCTCAGTCGAGGACTGACATTCTGTAAAGGAATTCTAATTCATGACAAAGTCAAGTGAGATGTTACAGATTGTCAGCCTGAACCTATACACATAGCAAAATTTCTTCTTTTACATGATTTTTCAATTATTTTTAATTCCATATTCTTTTATCAAATCAAATTACTTCCTTTTTCACATAAACGTCAGAAAGACGACTAGATATTACTGAATTTGGGCCACATAAAGAAGGCAGACCAGATCAAACAAAAGAAATGTAGCACTATATATGGTGCAAGATGTATCAGTCTCATGCATGAGAAATGATTCCTACAGCCAGTTAACAGGAATTTGTACTAGTCTTATAGATAGAAATACTTAAAAAATACCTATCTGCTTTCTTAAGTCAAGACTTTACTCACAACATTCTGCTGTGGAATGTAGCAAAGAGATTAAAAATTGTGAAGTAGATAATAATTTTTCCTAGCAATAGATCTGAAGACAGAACATCATAATAAACTAATTATTGTCAGAAAATCTGATTTTATCTTGTTACATACAATCTACAAAAATAACATACAAAGTCACTATGAGACCGTTGTGTCAACATCTATTTAACGTGAATGCCAGATACCTGACAATGATAACGATATATAAAAGAGTATTAGAGATTAGAACAATATGTACCAGCCATATTTCAAATGGTATTTCTTTCAGGCGTGTTGTAACATGATTGTTCTTGTAACAAGAGGCCCATGAGCTGTAATGGTCCTCTGACTATAAAGATCTATATATGAAAGAGGCAAAATAGGCCTAAATTAAATACATAGAAGACATTGTAGGTTCATCAAGACATTTTCTGGAAACCTGAAATCATATTTTTAAGTCATGCACTACACAATTGCCATTACTCTAGATGTATTGCTTGTTGAAAAAGAAAGATACAGGCCCAATATCAAAACCCTTGACCTTTCAATTATTAAGAGGTTGCTTAAGCATTTCAATACATCTGACCCCAGTGACCTTGAAAGTTGGTCCAAAAAAGAGTAGCATTTTGTAGCAAAATATTCAAAACTTCTCCCTTTGGGGACCCGCCCAAAAGTCCCTAGGGTTGTATCAACTTTCTGAATCTTAAGAAATGATTCCCCACTATCAATGATGTCTCGGAACAAATTGGTCGAAATCCATTCAAGCATTAAAAAGGAAAAAAGAGTAGAATTCTGAAGCAAAGTATTGTATTGATTTCTCTTTTGGGGCGGCATCCCCAAGTCCCTAGGGGTTGAATTAAATTTCTGAATTTAAGAAATAATTGCCTAGCCTAACTGATGAATCAGGCCAAAGCTTGTTGAAATCCATCAAAGGATGAAAGATCAGGATTTTAAAGTCTTGACCCTTCAGGTCTGATGACCTAAAAATGTATCAAATCACTGAAATTCAAGAAAACTTCAATTGTACTACAAAACTTGAGAGAAAGTTGATATTTTGTGCTTAAAAAGAAAACCATACTATATTTTATTTCATTATGTTGAAAGGTCAGGATGACCCAATAACACAGATTGATACATGTAGACAAATCTTTGTTGACATAGCATAATATAGATGATATACAAAGTCTTCTACTTACATGTTCACTCCTAAATCAAACCGTCTTCCCGTTATCTTACTTGTGTGAAATATTACTTATTTTACAATGCACCATTATGCAACCTCAAGATTCCTTTGATGCACATCAAAGGATCAATCTAGTCTTTTCATCTTGTCCACAAGGTGTCACACATGGAACCTTCAATTTTGCCATGACATGTTCCATGGGTGCAGAGAGCGAAAGTGATTGTTACCCCTGGAGTATCGAGGATGGCTCCTGGTCCACTGCTGGACAAACTTTGATAAAGGTGTTTCATTTTAACAAATTTTATAACCATAAATGGTTATTAAATTATCAACTGAATAAATTAAGATTACGATGAAATTATATATCTGCATCAATTGCTGTGAAATGACATACAGTAACTGAAACCAGTGCAGTTTCATTTTAGCACAATATACTGTGTTTTGATCATGAAAAGCATTATAATAGGATTATATCTTGTCTTTTCTTTACCATTATTTGGTCAAGATCATGCTTGCTGGATAAGAAATACTGAGACTCAAGAGCTAGGGTTAAATACTCCATAATATTTTCATCTGTTCTAATACAAAAGGAATACAAATATTCCATTTTACAATAATAAAGTGTTCTCTCTGAGAGCCTCAAATTTCTACAACTAAAGTACCTGAGCTACATTGGATCATCTATCTGTCAGCAAAATATTGTGTCTTGATAAAACGATTCACGTAGTGAAAAACACTAACAGATTCTAGGGGAAAAAAAGCCTGTTGATTTGATGTGAATTTATCTATGGCCATGTAAAATTTGGCACAAACTGTCATATTAAAGATCAAGTACCAGACAGATGAAGGGGAGGGGAGGGAGCATAGAGGTACCAGAAGGGGACGTTCCGAACTGAGGTGAAAGTAAAGATAACCTAGGCTTAATCACATGAAAGGATCTCAAAAACCATGTCAATATGTCCATGTACATCAAGACTAGAATATTCTATTCCCATTAACAAAGTAATAATCTGATCTGTAGCCAGGGACTGTAACAGTGAGGGGAGATGGTCTTAGATAAGACCTTGTGCTTGCATAGCTTTCATGCAACGAAGGGCTTTTTTAGCGGCGGCACTTTTGGCGATTCGGTAATTGCGTCCTATTCCAACAAACACCCCTTTACTGACGACGTTGACGGTGACTCTGATCTTTCCTTCTAAAGTTCGCTCTGGTTTCCTAGAAAAAATTGGAAATTATCATACAACTGAAATGCAAATGGGAAAATACTGCATTGTCTCCCCTTAATGTATTACCAAGCAAAACCAACATTTACTTGAAATACTTAAGCCACCATATTTAGTTTTTTCTTCTCCAAGATATGAAACTGATGCTATTAAAATGGAAAAAAGGAGGAAATTGTATCTTAAGTATTTTTGTCTCATAGAAAATTTGAAAACAAGAAGTATATCTCTAACAAAGCTGGTAAAATTCACCATATCATTTTCCTCTGTATGATTTCATCGCATTTTCAAATAGTGTGTGCTAGCTGGTTTATACAATAAGAACTGAAAATACTTTAAACCACCTAGTGGAGAACAACCCATTACACTCCTATAAATACATCAAAGAAGCTCAATATTTTAATAACCAATAAAGGCTTACTCAAATTTGGCTGTCTCTGGTTCCATCTCGAGTAATTCACGGACTGGTGACTTAGGTATACTCTTCAGGTACTTGTCTGTAAAAAACATCATATCACATGTAACTACATCGTACAGATGAAAGTGTTATTACATTGTACCTCTTAGTGTGTTACTACATGGTACAGGTGAGTGTGTTAATATATGGTACAGGTGAGTGTGTTACTATATGATACAGGTGAGTGTGTTACTACATGGTACAGGTGAGTGTGTTACTATATGGTATAGGTGATTGTGTTACTATATGGTAGAGGAGAGTGTGTTACTATATGGTACAGGTGAGTGTGTTACTACATGATACAGGTGAGTGTGTTTTTACATGGTACAGGTGAGTGTGTTACTATATGGTACAGGTGAGTGTGTTAGTACATGGTACATGTGAGTGTGTTACTACATGGTACAGGTGAGTGTGTTACTACATGGTACAGGTAAGTGTGTTACTACATGGTACAGGTGTGTTACTACATGGTACAGGTGAGCATGTTACTACATAGTACAGGTGAGTGTGTTACTACATGGTATAGGTGAGTGTGATTCTACATGGTACAGGTGAGTGTGTTACTACATGGTATAGGTGAGTGTGATTCTACATGGTACAGGTGAGTGTGTTACTACATGGTACAGGTGAGTGTGTTACTATATGGTACAGGTGAGTGTGTTACTACATGGTACAGGTGAGTGTGTTACTACATGGTACAGGTGTGTTACTACATGGTACAGGTGAGCATGTTACTACATGGTACAGGTGAGTGTGTTACTACATGGTATAGGTGAGTGTGATTCTACATGGTACAGGTGAGTGTGTTACTACATGGTACAGGTGAGTGTGTTACTATATGGTACAGGTGAGTGTGTTACTATATGGAACAGGTGAGTGTGTTTCTACATGGTACAGGTGAATGTGATACTACATGGTACAGGTGAGTGTGTTACTACATGCCGCTGGTGAGTGTGTTACTACATGGTACAGGTGAGTGTGCTACTATATGTTACAGGTGAGTGTGTTACTATATGGTACAGGTGAATGTGTTACTACATGGTACAGGTGAGTGTGTTATTACATGGTACAGGTGAGTGTGTTACTATATGGTACAGGTGAGTGTGTTACTACATGGTACAGGTGAGTGTGTTTCTACATGGTACAGGTGAGTGTGTTACTATATGGTACAGGTGAGTGTGTTACTAAATGGTACAGGTGAATGTGTTACTACATGGTACAGGTGAGTGTGTTATTACATGGTACAGGTGAGTGTGTTACTACATGGTACAGGTGAGTGTGTTACTATATGGAACAGGTGAGTGTGTTTCTAGATGGTACAGGTGAGTGTGATACTACATGGTACAGGTGAGTGTGTTACTACATGGTACTGGTGAGTGTGTTACTACATGGTACAGGTGAGTGTGCTACTATATGGTACAGGTGAATGTGATACTACATGGTACAGGTGAGTGTGTTACTATATGGTACAGGTGAGTGTGTTACTAAATGGTACAGGTGAATGTGTTACTACATGGTACAGGTGAGTGTGTTATTACATGGTACAGGTGAGTGTGTTATTACATGGTACAGGTGAGTGTGTTACTACATGGTACTGGTGAGTGTGTTACTATATAGTACAGGTGAGTGTTTTAAAACATGGTAGACAAGTGTGTTACGACATTTTCAGGTGAGTGTGATATTTCACTGCACAGGTGTGATAATGAATTCTTGAGAGCATTTCAAATAAATCTAAGAACTCATGCACCTAAATATCTATTATGGAATCTCTTTTATCTATTACAAAACCTAAAACATATTGAGGAGCCTACAAATGTATTAAACAACCTATATATCTATTACAAAACCTACAAACCTATTACAGAACCTATATATCTATTACAGAACCTACAAGCCTATTGAAGGACCTATATATCTATTACAGAACCTATATATCTATCACAGAACCTACAAGCCTATTGAAGGACCTATATATCTATTACAGAACCTATATATCTATCACAGAACCTACAAACCTATTGAAGGACCTATATATCTATTACAGAACCTACAAACCTATTGAAGGACCTATATATCTATTACAGAACCTATATATCTATTACAGAACCTACAAACCTATTGAAGAACCTATATATCTATTACTGAACCTACAAACCTATTGAAGGACCTATATATCTATTACAGAACCTATATATCTATTACAGAACCTACAAACCTATTGAAGGACCTATATATCTATTACATAACCTTTATATCTATTACAGAACCTACAAACCTATTGAAGAACCTATATATTTATTATAGAACCTATATATCTATTACAGAACCTATATATCTATTACAGAACCTATTTATCTATTGAAGAACCTAAATACCTGTTACAGAACCTACAAACTTATTGAAGGACCTGTATATCTATTACAGAACCTACAAACTTATTGAAGGACCTATATATCTATTACAGAACCTACAAACCTATTGAAGGATCCATATATCTATTACAGAACCTATATATCTATTACAGAACCTACAAACCTATTGAAGAGCCTGTATATCTATTACAGAACCTATATATCTATTACAGAACCTACAAACCTATTGAAGGACCTATATATCTATTACAGAACCTATATATCTATTACAGAACCTACAAACCTACTGAAGGACCTAAATATCTATTACACAACCTACAAACCTATTGAAGAGCCTGTATATCTATTACAGAACCTACAAACCTATTGAAGGATCCATATATTTATTACAGAACCTACAAACCTATTGAAGAACCTATATCTCTATTACAGAACCTACAAACCTATTGAAGGATCCATATCTCTATTACAGAACCTACAAACCTATTGAAGAACCTATATCTCTATTTCAGAACCTACAAACCTACTGAAGAACCTATATATCTATTACAGAACCTATATATCTATTACAGAACCTATATATCTATTACAGAACCTACAAACCTATTGAAGAATCTATATATCTATTACAGAACCTACAAACCTATTGAACCTACAAACCTACTGAATGACCTAGATAATCTATTACACAACCTACAAACCTATTGAAGAGCCTGTATATCTATTACATAACCTATATATCTATTACAGAACCTACAAACCTATTGAAGGACCTATATATCTATTACAGAACCTACAAACCTATTGAAGGATCCATATATCTATTACAGAACCTACAAACCTATTGAAGAACCTATATATCTATTACAGAACCTACAAACCTATTTAAGAGCCTGTATATCTATTACAGAACCTATATATCTATTACGGAACCTACAAACCTATTGAAGAACCTATAACTCTATTACAGGACCTACAAACCTATTGAAGACTATATAGATCTATCTTCTAATTGAAAAACCTATGTAAAAATTAAAGAACCTGATGTACCTATTTGAGGTTTCATCATCCTGTAGTACACTCTCCAGACCACATCCAGCGACAAACCACTGTCCAAGTAAATTGCTCCAGCCAGTGATTCAAAGATGTCACCAAGAGCCTTTGGTACCTCTAATTCAACATTCTCCTCACTAGCATCTTCATTCTCCTGAATAACATAATATAATAACACAGACATTCTTTGTGATAATTATAACAGGTATCTAAAAGCAAAATTTACAGCACTTTTCTTAAGTGTGTTGAATATGGCTTTAAATAACCTTATTTATCCAGCAGTAAAGCATGTCAGTCAATTAGCACATCCTTACATTTTTCTATTCATTAAAATTAGAAACAAATTATATTTCATTGTCCAGATATAAGCTCACCCCTGACTTTAAGTGATATATTGGTCCTGCAATATGCTCACCCCAATATTAAGTTGGAAGTGATGTGTTGGCACCATAGGGTCCTGCAACAAGCCCATCCTCTCACTTTGAGTAATAAAAAAGAAGCACCTTTGACCTAAGAAGTTATGCATTGCTCCCCCTCCAACACACACACAGCAGAGATTACCATAGGATAACAGCAGAAGATTTTTCTTTGGAACATACAAGTAATACAGATACTGATACTCATAATGTGCTGGAAATGAAAATCAATTTCTCACACGTCCATTTCCTGCTTTCATGGCACATCTATGTAACTCCCAGAAAAATAGGACAAAATATAGCCATCAACTTACATCTTCATCCTCCAAATCAATTTCATCCTCTCTCTCCTTCTGCCTAGCCACAAACTTCTCAATGACCTGGAATAATGGTGGTGAAATGGCCTTGAAGTACTTGTGAAAATCCCACTTTACAGCAAGTGCAGCAAAGATGTTGTTGTTGACCAGAGCTGACCTGAGGTCAGTGAGTACTCCTGGAGAGTACTTACAAGAGTCTTCATACAGGTGTCGTGTTATCACATAATCCAGGATGGCATCCCCTAGGAACTCCAATCTACAACATTTACAAGTATACAACATTTGTAGCCATGTCTTCAACATTTACAAGTGTACAAGACCTTGACATGGTAATCTACAATGTTTACAAGTGTACAAGACCTTGACACGGTAATCTACAATGTTTACAAGTGTACAAGACCTTGACAGAGTAATCTACAATGTTCAAAAGTGTACAAGACCTTGACACGGTAATCTACAATGTTTACAAGTGTACAAGACCTTGACACAATAATTTACAATGTTTACAAGTGTACAAGACCTTGACACGGTAATCTACAATGTTTACAAATGTATAAGACCTTGACATGGTAATCTACAACGTTTACAAATGTACAAGACCTTGAAATGGTAATCTACAAGGTTTACAAGACAAAATCATTCAAACTCTAGTCTAGAACGTTAACAGGTGTCCAAGACCTTGAAACTCAAGTCCACAATGTTTACAAGTGTCTAAGACCTCAAGTCTATAATGACAACAATCATATCAGACCTTCGGATTGCGAGTCTGCAATGTTTACATGTGTAGAAGACCTTAACAATACACTCCCTAAAATGAACATCAAATATCATACAATATACATCAACAGGAGGTTCCAGAGGGATCTTGTTACCAAACATTATTTTTCTTCATGTGTTTATTAAAAGTTGAATATTTTCCCTTCTTCTCTATTCTTTCCTCTGATTTTGTTTCTCTACTCAGTCCCAAAATCAAATGGTTATTAATAAGGACCAAGGAAAATCTACTGAGATTTAAGAAAATATATCCAGCACTTCTCTGGAAATAAATCGATAAAACAACACATGCAGCAAATCACAGTCCCCTACTGACACACCACCATACCAAGGTGAACCCATGTCAAGTATGAAGTTCAAATTCGAGAAAATGTCCAGGCTAGTTTTCTCTTTGAGAGAAGTCAAAGGTCAAAACATTGGTCACTAAGACCTACTTTTGAAACATGACACATTGCCTCACTAAGACAAATCCATAACCAAAATATCAAGTTCCAGTGACAAGTAATGCCATAGATACTGTAAACTTATACAGGTTCATCACTTAATAGACTTCCCACCTAGACACAGTGTGCCATTAAGATAAATACTGTTTTTTGTCAAGTTCTGTGTGTTCACTTGCTTAAATGATGGTGGGCGGAAAATGTAAAATTTTACAAACATGATGAGAAGTATATGATAATCTTCAAAGATCATTCAGTCAGGAAATATGTATATAAAATCACATGAATTCTGTCATATTTGAACAGCTTATATACAAAATCTCAAGAAAATACCCCGTTTATGGAATCGCAGTCGCAAATCAACAGCACAATCTTTGAAAAATATTGTTGGTTCATTCCTTCAAAATTTGGATTCTGTCAATCTATGGCTATGATATCCATCATTAATTTTGCAACAATCTAAAGATTAACACCATTGTCCTGTAGATCAGGGCTGCGAGATGATCTTTTTGTAGGGGTTTTAGTTTAAAGACAAAGAAAAATCTGTTTATTACTTTATGAAATAATACTTGTACATAACATACGTAGTATTTAAAGTATTTCCTTACAAATTAGGACCATTACCAATTTTTTTCTTCATTCACCTCTCTGATGCATAAGTAAGCTGACCATTTTTAAAACTATTCAAACAACCGTTGTTTGACCAACCATCAGTAACAATTACTGATATGACTCAGCCTCCTGTCAGTATAAAGTTGATAATTTTAAATATATTCAATCCTCTGTCAACAGAAGTAGGCAATGTTGTTCAACCCATCATCAGTAACAGTTGGTGATTTTGTTCAACCCATCATCAGTAACAGTTAGTGATTTTGTTCAACCCATCATCAGTAACAGTTGGTGATTTTGTTCAACCCATCATCAGTAACAGTTAGTGATTTTGTTCAACCCATCATCAGTAACAGTTAGTGATTTTGTTCAACCCATCATCAGTAACAGTTGGTGATTTTGTTCAACCTATTCTCAGTAAAAAAATATATGATTTTAAGTGTATTCCAAACTCTGCCAGTATAGTTGGCAATGTTGTTCAACCTACCACCAGTAAAAAATAGCGATATTGTTCAATCTATTGTCAGTAAAAAGTTGATGTTTTTAAATGTTTTTAACCATGTCAGTATAAGTTTGCAATGTTCAACCTACCATCAGTAAAAGGTGATATTATTCAACCTACTGTCAGTTAAAAAGATGATAATGCTATTCAACCTACCTTTGGTAACAGTCAGTGATATTGTTGTAGTGATAGGAGGCATGGGTGAAAGCCTGGAGAAGGTATGCCCGATCAGAGAATTTGTAGCCAATCTTTTCCTCAAAAGATGTGTATCCTATCAGGAGGTGTTCCATCAGATGTCTGTCTGTTTCCGAGTTAGATAAGAGAGGTGATGGCGGGCACTGGTAGCCATAGGAACTGACATTCTGACATTCCCCCTAAATAAACAAATATTTAATATTCATAGAGCTATATTGCACATTAGCAGCAAAATTGAAACATCTTGCAGAGTGAAGGGCAGAATATGATGCCCATAGGACCTGTATCACTCACATTGTTTAGTTTATTGAAACTGATTAATATAACTAAAGGAAAAGTATTTAGAAATTTCTGAATTTAAGAATAATTAGCGAAATCTTAATAGAATCCTTTCAAGCATTAAGAAAGGGTAGCACAAAAGAAATAGGTCATCTTGACCTTTCGGGTCAAATGACCTGAAAATCCACTTTGGTGTTAATTACTAGCAGTGAATTATAGGACACCGAACAATAGACCACTAAAGGTCAACGGATGCAGCAGTATGAAAATCAGGAGATGTGTCATCAGAATACACGTACAATGTATTTCAGAATCTCATCTGAATTAGTTCTCACTCCGAGCACAGAGAATGAAACCATTCCCATCTTAATAGAATTCGAAATACAGTTAAACCTACATTAAAACCAGTCTACTCTACCAACCAGTGGTACAAAACACAATGAGGCAATATGTTCCAAAACACAGGAATAGGTTCACAGCATTTCAGGTATTAAGCAAAATGTCAGATCAATAAGGGGTAAGATCTGAAAGGTTGTCAGAATACTCTGGGGTTCTATTAGACAGGCTGTCAGAAAATTCAGGATAAGATACAACAGCTTTTAATTATTGTTTCATTTAGTTACAGACTAGAATGCAGTCACATACCTGTGAGCTGGTGGGCATTGTCACTACCTCCTCCATTACATCACCTGCTGCAGCCACCTTGGGCGGCAAAACTTTCAATCCAAGTGAATACATGAACCTGAGTGCCGCCTTCTTTCCACAGGAAGTGAGGTAGCAGCCAATCAGTGACTCAACACAGTCTGCGATGGACTTGTCGGGGATACTGTGGAGCGTTTGTAAACAGTAAGAGTAAATATCGACACCCTTCACCTCGTTCACCTCCATGTCCTGTTCCTCGACTTCTTGCCACTGATCGATGTCCTTAATCTGTTGGTCTATTTCATCCTCTGTTAATGTTTTACCGTCAACCTGTGACTTCCTTCCATCTGTTTTCTCTGTTGAATTTTCAGGAGTTACCTTACCGTTTGTTTTACTCAACACCACATGTGGCACAGGTCCCTTGCGTTTTGTCTCATTAATGACATAGCCTGGTGGTAGCCAGTTTTCATACGGTTCAAACTTAGTGGAGATCATGCACTCTGCCAGACCTGTTCTTTTACCTAATCTATACAGATTACAATTACTAACCTGCTTACTACGCAGGTAGCTCAGTTTACCTTCATGAATACCTGGATAAGTACAGTACAGGAACACAGTGATAGCATACTTGAGGAAAGAATCGCCGATTGTTTCCAGTCGCTCCAGACTAAAAAAATCATTAGCATTAGACATTGTGAGAGCCTGCAGGATGGTGCATGGACTTGGGCCAATATATTTACTAAGGTCAATATCTACATCTAGTGACAACAACGGCTCTGGGAATGCTGTTGCTGCAAGATCGACAGAAACTGACCTCTTCACCTCATCTTTATCTGATCTTCCAAAATGTCCGACAGAAGCAAAAACATCAGCTTGTTCATCACTTTCACAAGTCTGTTGCTCTTTCCAACTGTTCTCATCAAATTTGGGGTCCTCCTTGTTTCTGACAAGTTCATCCAGGACTTGGTCCCTTGTACTGTCCATGATCAAATGTCCACATTTGTCTCTGCTATCAGGGGGGTCACCCCAACCTGAGGATGTGTGAGCGTTATCACAGTCAAGATGAATATCACAGCTTTTGGTTTGATCAAATTTGTCTCGATTGCCATCAGAAGGTAAACTTTCACAAAATGATTCATCTTCCTCCTTATGTAATGGATTAGAAGAATCTGACGTTATTTTGCTGAAATCTTTCATGAGGCCATTTGAAGAAAGTTCCTTCGAAAAAGCTGTATTTCTTTTGCATGATTTTATGCATTCAGTAATTGCTGTAGAATCAGATTCATGGATTTCCAGACTAGAGAGTTCTTTTTGTACACGACTCACAGAGTGAGATATATCACAGTCTTTATCATTTGGCTTGCATTGTTTGTCAATTTCTTCTGCATAGTTTCCATTACATATCAACGTTTTGCGAACCTCATCTCTCAATGAAACAGACAACTGACTGGTATTGTTCTCATCACTTTTTCCTTCATTGACAGAGGTAATTTGACTAGAGTAGCCTGCCCTTTGTTCATGCCCAGCAGGTGGAGCCTGCATTCTTTCTGACGTTAACTCTCCATCTGATACTTTATCTCTTTTCTTGTTTCTTCCAAAATCATCAACAACCTCAGTTTTCACAGTTTGTATCACAGATTCATGAGGCTTCATATTTTCACAATGATCTATAATTACATTCTGGCTGGATTTCAGATTTTCAGTAGCACCCGTTGTTGTGTCATGGCCGGAATTGAAATTTTCTGATGCGGTCATTGTGTTTTCATTGCCAGATTTCACATTTTCACAGTCAGCCATTTCTATTTCACTTGCTAAATTCACATTTTCACAATCAGCCATTTCTCTTTCACTTGTAGAATTCACATTTTCACAGTCAGCCATTTCTATTTCACTTGCTGAATTCACATTTTCACAGTCAGCCATTTCTTTTTCACTAGTGGAATTCACATTTTCACAGTCAGCCATTTCTATTTCACTTGAAGAATTCACATTTTCACTGTCAGCCATTTCTGTTTTTTCATTGCCAACATTCACATTTTCACAATCTGCACTTAGTATTTCATTGCTTGATTTCACATTTTCACAATCTGCCCTTAGTATTTCATTGCTTGATTTCACATTTTCACAAACATCTATTGACTTGTCATGGGCAAATTGAACATTTCCAAAATGCCTTTCCCCTGAACACACACCAGCATTATCTAACACTTCTCTGTGCATACTTCTGTCTCCTGATTTTTCTGAAGATTTCAACACTTCCATGTGTATATTTTCATTCAAAGATGTAGCCTGTCTGTCATTGCTATTCACATTTTTGTTTTCTCTCAGAGATGACTTTTGTGCATTTTCATCAATATGTTCTTTATCCTCCTGTAAAGAGAAACCAAAATCTAAAGCTGGGAATGAGAATCCCTCTGGGAGGTCCACCTGCCCAATATTAGCATCTGTTGCAATTCGAATTCTCATCTCCTCTGCCACCAAGAGATAATTTAATCTGTAAAGAATTGTTGGAAGACAGACAGCTTTCCTCCAAAGTGAAGATGGAAATACATGTACTTCACAAAGTTCTGGGACTAGAATTTGCTTCTGTTGTAAATTTTCTCTTCTGGCCTTTTTAGTCTCTGCACTGCTTGTTGGCAAGGCAACACCTTTTTGGTTCATGTATCTAGGGGTTAAAAGGTTAAGACGAGCTGATGTATGATCAACATCCAAGAGAGGCTGCTCCTGATTGGTCACTGTCAGACCATATTTGGTGGTATAATATTCACTAAATGTCTTGTAAAGCTCAGGGGACGGAAAGGCTGAGGAAGGGTTGAGATCACTGCGGATTTCTGCCACATAGAAATGCTGTGGTTGATCAATATTACGATACGAAGGCATAACTACAGCGTCTTCGTAATCCTGTCTTTTAAACTCAAAGACTTCACGCTTAGAGTCATATATATTTCTCTTCACAGACTGTTTGGATTTCTTCACCAAGTCAATAAAATCCCAATCAACAAAGTAATTGGAGTCATCTGTTTCTGAAACAGAAAAATATAATGAGACCTGTCTTTTATACAGAAATTAGTCCCCTTCACCAAGAATATTTTAGACCAAATTTGGGCAATATCAATTTATTCTTAGAGGAAAAATTTACCCATTTGGGTCTGTCCTAGCACAAACTTTGTTTCCCTTCACCCAAGAAGGCTTCTGATGAAAATTTGGGTGTCCATATGGAGAAGTAGGATTTTATGATATTTGCACTATTTCCCAATAGGGCCCTGCCCCTCCCACCTTAAGAGGCCAGAATCCACTGATTAAATATAAGCGATTCCGCTGCAACCAAGAATACTTCAGACTAAATCTGGGAAATATCCATTCATTCCTACCGGAAGAGTAGGATTTTAGTGAATTTGCTATATTTTCCCAATTGGGCCCCGACCCTCATCCCCCAGTGGGATGAGATTCATCGTTTATACAAAATTTATTTCCCCTTTCACCCAAACATGATTCATGCCAAATAAGGACAAAATCAAACCATTCCTATCAGAGGATTAGGATTTTAAAGAATTTGCTCTATTTCCCTCAACTGGGCCCCACCCTCCTACCCCAGGGGGCTGAGCACCACCATTTATACAAAATCTATTCCTCTTCATCAAAAGATGTTCTTACCAAATTTAGCCAAAATCCAATCACTCCTACAGGAGAATTTGGATTTTAAAAACTTTGTTATTTCACCCATTGGGACAAAATTTGGTCAAAATGGTAAAAAAAGGTTGTTCATGACTAGAAACATTTTGTAGAAAAAGTTGACAGAGGACAGATGACACATGCCAGACAACAGATTACAGACAACAGAAGAGGGGTGCCACTGAAGGGTCAAGTGAGCTTGAAATGTACATACACAGCTCACCCAATGAGAACAGATTTTTAGACTCAGCTGACCAATAGCATGAAAGAGACGAAACCACATATTTTTTGTTCCTAACTGGAAACTTTCTATGTTAGGTGCTCAGATTCTTGAAGATGTCAGGAGAGCATTCTAAGATGAAAGCAAACAGGGTCAGGATCATTCAAACATCAAAAGGTTTATTGTCAATCCTAACAGATAACTTACTGCGATTCAGTGGAATGATACAATAGCCTAAATCAGCCCTTTCTGGATGGAACTCCATTGGATCTTTCTCCAGTCTTAGCACCTCTGTGAACACAAATCGGTGGAACTCTCGCAGTTTGATGAGCTCTTCCTGTGTGAAGGCTGCATCTCTCCGTAACAGGTTTAAGGATACAGTTACCTCCCCTGATCTTGTATACAATGGGAATGTTGGGATCTGAAATATGACATACAATGAAAGAGACAGAGACAAGAACATTATATGCTGCCAGTGAGAATCTATATCAAGTCCTTTTACTGATCAGTGTATGGGTGTACCACAATTTAGTTCATACATATCCACAACAAAAGATACTCTAACCATTTCTAAAACAACAACTTTTAATCGATCTGAAAATTCCACATTTCAGTAACCTCCGTAATACTTTCCAACTGATATCTCATTGTGAAGTGAGCATTACTACTAAAACAATGCTAATCTAGTCCTTCCAGTGTTGGTTAAACTGCTTACTTGGCTGTTTTAGTATACAGACAGGCAATACTTTTCATAGAAATATGACTAAAATTCAATGAGCCCTCTTACTATTAGACCATTAATATCACTAAATTCAAATGATCCCACCTCTCACCTCCTGCAAGAAATACCAAATTAACAGGATATATAAGTCAATAGTGTTATCATACCTTTGGGATATGTTTAGAACTCAGCAATCCAAACCCTCTCTTTGTTTCATCTGGTGTGTACACTCGGCGCCCTCTCGTGTTTTGATCATCTGATATCGGCTGGGTCAGAGTTAGATGGATGAGATAAAGGAAGTTCTGATCTTCTGTAGGGTGACCTTTAACTAGTGCAGATCCAAGCTGTCAATAAATAAATAAGATCATATCCCTGTAACACTACTTCACCACAACAAACAACAGAGTACACAATATCAAATCAATTTTGATTTTACTACTGTAGTACTATATACACTTGTGGTACATCTACACACCTGATCCATCACACACTCATGGTACAATCATACATCTGTGGTACAATCACACACCTTTATTACAATCACCTACCTGTGGTACATCTACACACCTGATCCATCACACACCTGTGATATATCATACACTCATGGTACAATCATACATCTGTGGTACAATCACACACCTTTATTACAATCACCTACCTGTGGTACATCTACACACCTGTGATACATCTTTTTACACAGCTTTCGTACATACTTGTGGCCCCATCTCATGCCTGTGGTATACAATGTTGCATCCACACCTGTAGTTATGTGATAATTATGACAAACAAACCTGTTTGATATAGTACTGCTTCCTCTTTGTTGTACCAGGTCTCGCTTCACCAGCAAGATCTTCATTGTCCCATGCACTGGAATCTTCTTCCTCCTTCATGAAGAGTTCTTTTCCAACAGGAAGTAGCTGATCATCGATTTCACCTATAACACAAATCCACATCATGTCAAAATGTCTATGTTCTACCTAATAGCCTACAATGAGCCTCCTCCAGACACCAAACTTCATGTCATGCCTAAGGTCATCTAGGCTTACTAAGAATTCACCACCTTCAAGGAGTTAAGAAGGAACAAATTATCTACCTTGAAACCCTGCTAAAATCATTCAACATTCCTGCTATTGTGTCAAATGAAATATTTCCTTTTTTCAACATTACACATGGGGATGTAAGGAGACTATTGGTAGTAGTACACTACATTGTATAAAACTAAGCCAGCAATGTGTTGATATTGATGTAAAATATCTAAAAATTATATAGTGGCAGTCTAACTTACTTGAAGTACTAAAAAGATGAGGAAAAGCTGTCATCTTTTATTCCACCTGACAGGTAGAAGGTAACGCAGATATTTGTATCTTATCTGATTTACTGAAGATCTCAAAAAAGCTTGTATGTTACTTCATCAAGTGAAGATCGCAAGAATGTTTGTATCTTATCTGATTCACTGAAGATCTCAAAAAAGCTTGTATGTTACTTCATCAAGTGAAGATAGCAAGAATGTTTGTATCTTATCTGATTCACTGAAGATCTCAAAAAAGCTTGTATCTTACTTCATCAAGTGAAGATAGCAAGAATGTTTGTATCTTATCTGATTCACTGAAGATCTCAAAAAAGCTTGTATCTTACTTCATCAAGTGAAGATAGCAAGAAAGTTTGTATTTTACTTCATTCAGTGATTGTCACAAGAATGTTTGTATCTTATTTCATTGAATGAAGATCTCAAGATTGTTTGTATCTTATTTCATTGAATGAAGATCTCAAGATTGTTTGTATCTTACTTCATTAAGTGATGGTCACAAGAATGTTTGTATCTCACCTGACTTGTGGAGGATCTCACAAGCTTTTAATGCTACAGCTTGCTTGGCTAACATCTTGGTAGGCATGGGAATACCCTGAATAAACCAAAACACAAGACTTTCTTTAATAACATCTATCAGGAACAGGGACAAAAGAGATTGACTAACAGGAAACCGTGTACACTGTATCTACAATGTCATCCCAATCAATATAAATTTTATTTACTTTAAAACAATTGTGAAAATAGCTAGGCCTTATATTAATCACTCTTGTTGGCACAGATGGAAGCACTGTGGGAGGAAACCAGGATTCCTGGTAAAACACTGTGCAGTTGGGTTGGTGAACCTGAACTTTCCATGTCTATTCAGGAATTTGAACCATGGACATCTCAATGAAACATGAGTGCATTCCACTACAGCACCTGACCACCTAAACCTCACTCCAACAAAACTTGGTCTCACTCGGACATTAAGTTATAAATCTTGTCTAACCTGGATTTCTTCTTTCATCGGTGAGTTGATTGGAAGCCTTAAGGTGGCACTGTAAACAGTCTGGTCACCTTTCTGTGTTGAACAGATTGTACACTTGGGAGTCAAGTGGGTGAAAGCATCACTTGGCAACTTTGCACAATATCTGTGAGCAGATGAACAAAGTTAATAAGATATAGGTTTCAACATATCACAAAAGTTCCTTCAACTTTACTGTTCTAATCCTAACAGCATCATTTGTTTAAGCTTTCTAGATATAATTAACATAAACTACTAGGTAAGTATAGTTATTAAAAGTTTATACAATATGAAATTCCTGTAAAAACAGTGTTTACCTGTTGACGAGAGCAATGGCAGACGTGAGAGTGACCTGAACACCTCCCTCCCCATCAGAGGGTTTGTAGGGAGGCAAAATGTCATGGTACAGATCGGTGATGTTCTCACAATTCATTTCATCCTCATTATCATTAGCTTTCCAAATTCCTTTCAAGACCTTCAATAATCAAAATAATTTACTAAGACTACTTTGTAAAGTAATGACAAACGATACATATGCAATGTACACTAGACAATACAAAACACTTTTTTGTTTTTTTGCTTTTTTAAAACATTTTCAATCATTCAAAAACAGGACTAAATAAATACAGTTATAATTACCAACATGTCAAATTCCATTCAGTATATCTAAAACATAGTTTATTTATTTTATCATAACATTTGTACCCCTTCAATATCCTTATATTTTGCCAACTCCGACCTGAAGGCCTTCAGGTTTGACTTGTCCGCTAAAATCACATACTCAGATTCCCGAGCACGAGCTCGTCCCTGAAACATCAAAAGGAAAATTCATAAAGAAAAGTTGATGATGACCGAGATAAAATAAACAGATATATGCATATGAAATAAAGATTTTAACTGAAACATTTACACAATGATATCTACAGATAGTACCATATCAGAAAAGTAAACTGGTGGAAATCAAAGTCGACTGGGACAGTTACATTTCATTCACATCACTAGTTTTTCTTCAACCCTTTATAAAATTTTACCAAGATGGCTGAGGTAATCTACTGTTATAAAGTATTGGTTGTAAAATCCTTAAATATTTCTAGTATTCAGACTCCATTAATGACTTGACAAGCCTCATCCTGGAACAAAATATCAATAAATATTCCTGCACTATACATTTCAATTATTTGATGTAAAAAAAACCCACTACAATCAAGTTGGGTTACAGTATTTATCCCATAGCAAATGCCAACCAGATCGGTGATATACATATATATATATATATAATACCTTTGACTGACTGTAAGAGCGGTAATCCTTCGGGGGGTCAAATTTGACGATGAGGTTACACTTTGGTATATCAACTCCTTCTTCCAACACATCAGTAGCCAGTAAAAGGTTGAGTTCCTGAAGACGAAATTTGCGTAGGATTTCTTCCTGTTTTTTATAACTTTTACTGCCCTCTTTCTTGGACCCTTGTCCTGTGATGTGGTGACTCTTGATAAAGCACAACTGGTCATCCCACGCACAAACTTCTTCTATGAATTTGTTTAAGGCAAATGCCACATAGCGGTGATCGACAAACACAATGCCACATAAATATTTGTCATCACTTCCAGAGAATAATTGCAACCCCGACTTGTCATCAGGAATATCCTTTTTAACTGCCACGTGAATAACTTTGGACCCTCCTGTTCTATCCTCATCATCAGAAGAATCTGTTAAGGCTAGACTGTCATCTGACATGTAGGAATCTTCATCCAATCCATCTGCATCTTCGCTGCTGATGATCTTAAAGTCACACTCAGGTTTAAACCTTCGCAAATGGTCTACAAGTTTTTTCACTTTTGGGGTGGTGTACAATAGCAGTTCCTCAATGTCATACTCTGGAGAAAAGTTGTTTTCAAAGTGATTTATAAACAGTCGGAGCTGGGTGGCAGCCATGCGTAGAAATTTCTTTTTAACATCAATCGTCTCATGTTTGTCAATTTTTTCGAGCTGTGAGACAAACATCTGGGCGAGACTCACTGCACACCAAGGACCGAGACGATACAGGATATTGAGACACTCCACTATAACAGTCTTTGGTGTTTCTATCGGGTCTTCATTACCTTCCAATTTGATATTACATTCCTGTAGAAACTGAAGCGTGTTTTCCAAGATAATTTCTAGCTCCTCAACCATACCCGTTTTATCTTCATACTTATCACACTCAAACACAAGCTCTGTGGGTCGCATTCCATACCTCTCTGAGTAAACCAGTGTTGATGTCTCAGCAGACGCATTGAAACGTTTCTCTAACTGTTTGATGGTTGTAATCAACTCTACTGGGTCCTGACAGTGCTTGCTTGTGAAACAGGAAGTAAGACCAAGAATTCTGGGAGATTCTTCTGTACTGCATTGTGCCTGTAGTCTTTTGGTAATGCAATCATATGGATGATCTGGATCCAACACATGCTGGCAGTGATCAAAGATCAGCACATTTACTTGCGATAGCTTCAACAGATTTTCTTCAATAAGATGTTGAAAGAATGCAGGAAGCATGACTACTGCTTGTGACTTGTGAATTTCCTGTATCCACCAGTCATGGTCCCTGTCCTGACAGTCTGTTGAATACTGACCAACAGTCAGATCTGTGTGATGACCAATCACAAGAGCATACTGGGCTATGTCCTCAGCTGAAATTAGAAATGATTTGAATGACCAAATCATCCAGAAATAACAAAGTCATGGAGTTAAACCCTCATCATCATGAATGACTTTGACCTTTGATGGAAAACCCTCCAAAATGTGTGCTTCTTCCTCTTTTAACCCAATCATAAGGAATTTGATTACAAATAAAAGAAATTGTTACTTACATAGATTGAAATCCCTTCCGACATACAAATATGGCCCTGCAGAGTTTTCTAATGGTATATTTGTTTTTAAATAAATAACAAATGTCCTCAGGATTTCACAGGTTCACATACACATACAGCTATGTATGCACAACATCTTTTCCTTGTATGAGAATACCCTATGCTAAATTCACCTGTATTACATTTCACTCTCAGAGCAGTGTTAAAAAGTATGTTCTTATTTGCTCAAAAGGGAGTCACACATGCATCACATAACAAACTTTCTCATCAGATTTCCTCCAAACAATTTCAGCCTCAGTTTATATTCACAAATCAAAGCTAATTCAAACTATTTTGGAATTCAGATTTTTCATTAACAGAAATCTATTTCCACACTGAGAAAACTTGATTTATGAATGGAGACAGGATAAAAATGGTGCTGTAGACTGTAAAAACAGTATTATGAGAAATGATGGGATAGATTGAAGCAGGACCATCTTTCAGATTACATGACAATTCAATAATGGTCTTTAGTCACTCTTCAGTGTCACTGAGGGCCGCGGGAACTACAGCAACAATATACATATATGTATACAATGTGATTGGTAGATACCATTGTTGACGAGAAACACGCCTCGCTTTCCTCCCTGGTCAAGTGGCTGCTGTAACTGATGTCCAAGCTCCTTCAGCAACATTACACTGAGGAACATGCAACTTGAGGTGGCGCCAAGACACACCAGAGTGTTCTGCTGAACTGCAGCATCCAACAGCTCCACCTTGACAGCAAACAAACAATTAAATTGTCAAGCATACTTAACAAACCAGAATAATTAATATACATTTGACTGTTTTAAATCTGGATGCGGCATATAACTTTAAAGAAACTGTTCACCAATAGCTTATTTGAATTACCTGTCACATCATATCCAAACCTTTTCATGCATGCATCAATATCATTAGACAATTCCAAACAATTTGAAATTGTGCATTGCATTTGTCTGAAACTGTGTAAAACATATTTATATGTATTAAGGATGATTGTCACTATTAAAACCAAAAGAGAGATAAAAGATAAAATTGATGCCTTTTTATTTAATAATACCACACTGAGAGAAACCAAAGTCTAGAAGTGACCATAAGATCTAAATCGTAGGACATCTTTCTTGTTCCTTACAAAGTGAATATTTTATCAAAGGAAGTCATTTTCAGATCATAAAATATCTCTTAATAAAAAAAACAAATACTACATCCAAATTGAGACTTAATTGGTCATGGTGGTCAATACAGAATACTCAGTATGTACCTGATATGTTCTTGGGGTGAATGTATGTGTAGGAATATCCTCATATCTAAGATGGCGTGGCAATCGCCTGGAGGACTCACTTCCTGTACGACCCATCTGTAACATAATACATGAAATCATGTATAATCAAATATTACCCTGATACTAACAGCTAAAATTCATGTAATTTCCTTGCAAAGTTCGCTGTCACCTTGCAGTAAATTGAACTATGTTTTAACCATCTTTCATCAGCACTGTATGTAAATGTTCATCCCTCATGTAAGGTGCAATAAAACTTAAGTGGTTCGCATCAGAATGGAAGAAGAAGCCCTTGCAGTGGTGTCTACTTTCAGAGTAACCAGTCTACCAGATGATAGATGAGCATAGGTTTTCTAATAACTTGCAGATTAAATCTTATTGAAATAAATACTGAGCGGTCAAGTGGTCAATGACTAATACTCTTCTCATAATGGGGCGCCAACTAGCAGTCTCTCATTCTCGACTGGCTATGTGTCATACCACTTTATATGTACATGTATTAACAGTTAAGGAAAATCAATGCAGCTAATAATGGTAAAGGTCATGTATGCTCTCTTCTATCACATTTCTTATGTTTAACTTAACTTTAGTATTTCAGTTCGTTTGTTATTCATTCTCTGATGATAGTACACTGTGATAGGCCTACTGCAATCCACATTTGTATATTCAATATACTATCTTTAAAATCAATCACAAACCAAATCGTGTGTCATAATGTTACGCTTTTAAATAAAAGAAAATGTGTTCAGTTTACAAATGCCACAAGGCATTCTTTGTAAATCAGAAACGTCGTTTGCTTTACAATGCACAAATGTTTAGGTTTATATATTCATCTTGATTGTTTGACGATTGCGAACAATGCATTTCTGAGAACATTCTTTACCGATTGTCGATAAATCAATTGAAAACAAATAATTACGTATAAATTAAGTACCGTGCGAGTAGACAGCTTCTTGGGCGGGTTAGGTGGCTTCAAAACGTCATTGCAGCATCAAGTTTTTGAGAAACACTGAGCTGGAGAACAGAAGTCCACCATGCTGGATTTTCAAGCGGAAGTGAAGCCCAAACAATTATAAAATAAAACTTGATTGGCTGCAATCGAGACGCTAAATAATTTGACCAATGAACGTTCTCATAACAAATGTAATTACTTTATAAACAGAAAAATAAGAATGACAGAACACATGACAGAACTAGACGCACAAAAGGTCTTAAAAGTAAGATTAATGAAATATTTCTATTTAATCGAATAATTTAACCACAATTCGATCATTTTTCAAAACAGTTACCGTTTATTTTGTATGCGTCAGAACAGGAGAAGATTTGGCCCCAAATTAATAGGATAAAGTGAAAGTAGGGGTCTTAATTATGTAAAAAAAAATCCGTAATTGGCCTGCTTTAATTTTTGTACAATGACTCTAGAGTTTGAAATTCTTCTACTTCTACATTTTGATAACCACTTTCAAAACGATGTTGTTTGGAGCGAGCTTAGCACATGTGGACTGCGTGGTTCAAACAATATTCATAATCAAAAATCAAGATGATAATTACAGTGAATTTCCCTTGATAATGGCAATTAAGCTCCACAATACACAGTACAATAGCTCATTTATAACTTTTTCTTTAAGTAGAAAACAAGCCAAACCATGCAATCCTTCATCATTATATGTGTAACCCTGGTAAATACTAGCCACAATATACTGCTTGGCTAGAGAGAACTTCTCTTTAGCTCGATCAGTTGAACATCAGACTAGTACACCAGAGGTCCCAGGTTCACATCCTTGCAGAAGCGCTGAAATGAATAACAACCTCTTTTACTTTGGCGCCCATGTAGGCACGCAGGAATAATACTTAGCTTTACTTTCACAAGTACCTGTGTATCCCCCTAAAACTTGAGGATGAGTTATTTCCTGGAGAGGGAGTATGTAACCCTGGTAAATTCTAGCTGTAATATACCACTTAGCAAGAGAAAACTCTCTCTTTAGCTCAACTGGTTGAGCATCAGACCAGTATGCCAGAGGTCCTGGGTTCAAATCCTACCAGAGGCATTCTATTATGAAGACCGCCATTACATACAAGTAAGAATATGTCAAATGAGAAGGAGACTGTAAAACATGGAAAAATTAATGTATTATTTTCTATAATTATCACAGGCACCACCAACAATCTATTACATTCCTGAGTATATTACAAAAGAGGAAGAGGAATCACTGATGAAAAATGTTTATTCAGCACCAAAACCTAAGTGGACCCATTTGTCAAACCGACGACTCCAGAACTGGGGTAGGCACAACACATTTCTCCTGTATACCCAAACTTGCAAGATCTAAGAAGTAAAATGTGCTGAAAAAACTTTGAACAATTTCTCAAAAACTAAAACAAGACTCTTCAATCAGTTTTTCAGTAACTAATAGTTCTTGGGTTACATCTTATATGGCATGTGAGGAAGAAAATCTGTATCAAATCAGTAGCGCTGACCACTTTCAAGGTCACTGGGGTCAAGTGCTGTGTTAAAAGTTAAATTAGGCCAGAAGATTGCTTGGGCGAAGGCATTTTGAGTTTGAGTAAATTCTTCCAGCACAAATCTACTTTTCATATTTTGGAGAATTTATGAGTGTTTTTAGCCCCTTTGGCCTCTTGTTAATGACTGGGGTTTAAGTTTTCAATGAGTACTTAAAATTCCTTATCAGAATGTAAGCAAATTCTGATTAATTTACATGCTTGTATTTATAAAATCTGTTGAACGGATATCACATCATTTATTATAAAAATGATTGTTTTAATGACTAAACATAAATTTTATAAATATTCTGATGGAAAATTTCTGACTATCTTTCCCCTTTTTTTTAAGGTGGATTACCGCATCCAAAAGGAATGGTAGCAGAGGAGATGCCATCGGTAATATTTTCAGAGCGTTTGTGAGTGTTGTGGAATTAGATCGTCCACAAATGAATTTGTATATTTATTCTCTGTGTATCCTGTTAAACATTTAATCAGTCTTCACACCTACTCTATAACAAGAAAATGTTTTATACAAGTCAGAGACCTGTTTTTTAACATAGGTCATGGTTAAAGGAATTTCCAAACCCGTTTTTTTTTTGTATGAAGCTTAAAGACCTTGATTTAATACCAGGATTATACAGTTATTACCAAGTTTCAGTAATGACAGGCCAGTTTAGATGGAAGGGTTATTATTCAGCAATGACCCTTTTTAGGGTTAGGGTTAAATGGAAGGGTTATTTTATTTTATTAATAATTTATGTCATTGTAATAATAAATTTTGATGCAATTCAAATTTTCAACATTTGCTACAGTACATGTTAATTTTGTTTGTATTTCAGTGGCTGAAAATCTACACAGAGAAGATAGTAGGTACTGGTGCCAGACTTTTCGGAGATAAAAGTTTAAATCATGTCTTGGTGAATGAGTATGAAGCTGGACAAGGCATAATGGTAAATGTTTATAAAATCAACCATTCTTTCGGGCTATTGTATACATGGCATAGAATTAATTTAAGAAGACATATTCAAACTTGTTGTGTGCAAAAATGGATCCATATACCATATATTTTAGATATATTACAAGGGCTATTTTTAAATGGTAGGAAAGAGTTTTTTGTTGCAAATGGTCATAGGTAAGTCAGATGATCTTAAAAACCAGCATACAAAGATCAAACATTATAATGGTATAATGAATCAAGGTGTAAAAGAATTGGGAATCATCTTTTAAAACACCTCTTCTCAAGAATCGCTGGGTTGAAAAGTGAACCTTTTTAAGGAAATTACCAGCAGTAGGAAATCACATGATGGTCATTGAATTAGGTTTGTTTTCATGTTGGTTTCGTTTGATTTTGATGTGATTTCTGATAGTATTATTTGTTGGAGTTATGTGCCAGTGGTTTATCCATTTACAGCCCCATGAGGATGGCTCATTGTTCTTTCCGACTGTATCCACCATCAGTCTCGGATCACATACCCTGCTGGATTTCTACTATCACAGAGAACAGGATGAGGATTCCACTCAGGTACATTGAAGATATCATAAGTCAAACATTTACAAGATTTGGACCAATCAACAATATAAAACAAATGTTCACATGATCTAGACTGATCAAAAACATAAACATTTACATGATATGGACTTACCAAAACATAAATCATTTTCATAACCGGGATTCAAAACAGGTAGATAATGTATTCAAACATTCACAGGATCTGGAATAATTTACACAGTGGGTAAAATACAATAAACAGTTACATGAATTGATGAACTCTCATTAAGGTCACCTGAAATTGCTGAAACTTGCTACAAATATTTCATGCCTTAGTGGCTTGAATGAGTTTGTGTCGCAGAATTTTACAATTTTGCAGGCTTATGCAACATAACATGAAGTCATTTTTAAACACAGCTGTTTGATTCATCAATACTTAAGGAGTTATTGTCCTTTGTTTTTTTGCAGCATTTTCATAACATATCAAGATTTCCCTCATTTTTTCAACAATTTTTCAGAAAATTGATAGGCATTACAAATAATTGTGCATTCTTCAACTGACTGTGATTTTTCAATTTTGGAAAGAGTTATTTCCCATTGTTTTTTCTAACATTTTTATCTTTACCAGTCTCAACCCATTTCTTCAAAATTTTAGAAGATTGAAAACTACAACATGGTATTGTGTTCTCATAAACGGCATTTTGATTCAACAATATTTCAAAAAGCTACTGACCTTTACACATTTAATATTTCAGATTTTTATTTCAAAAAACAACACGAAAAAAAGGGAAAAAAATATCATGACCATGACCAGTATTTTCAATCAGGTAGAGTTGCAGAAAAACATAAATTCTCTGAAGAAATTGAAACCTAGGAATTTTTAGGTTTCCCATATTTCAAATCAAAACGCAAACATAAAGAAATAAAAGATCAGCCTGTTTAGGTTCATATCATATATATTCTCAAATGAAGACAATTTTTTTAAAATCATATATTTTACAGAGCAACATTACATCACAAGATGATCGCCATTTTGTGTCTATATTACTTGAGCCCCGGAGCCTTGTGTTTGTAACTGAGGACATGTACAAGCAACATCTTCATGGAATAGCAGAACGAACCTCTGATGTGATCACAGACAAAGTGGCAAACCTTGACATGTGTAAGTCTGTCAGTGTTGGTGACACACTCACACGGTCAACTCGTGTCTCACTCACCATCAGACATGTTCCAAAAACACTGAAAGCCAAACTCTTCTTAGGAAAGAAAAGATGACAAGATCTGTCATATTAAAGTTATGTTTTATTGTTTGAAGTTTGTTTTTGATTTTGTTCTGTTCAGTCAAAACAACTGATTTCTTTCATTGAGTTGATATCCAAGACCAAAAGTTTCTCAAAATGTTCCCTGCAGTCTCCGTATGTTCCTTGTGAACCTTGTTAATTTCACCTTCTCCCATAGTTCCCTTCAGTCCCTTTAGATAACACCCTCACAATGACCAGAGGTTCCTGATGGTGTTCCTTCACATCCCTATTGATAATATCATCACATTAACCACTGGATCTTCTGAGTGTTCCCTCCTCAAGTCCCTATAAATAACACCCTTTACAGTGACCAGAGATTCCTGTAGATAGCATCATCGCAGTGACCACTGGATCCTCTATATGTTCCCCTTCTAGTCCCTATAAATAACACCTTCACAGCGACCAGGGGCTCTTGTTAATGTTCCTTGAAGTCTTTTAGAAAATACCTGCACAGTGACCACAGGTTCCTCATAGTGTTCCCTCTGGTCCCTGTATATAACACCCTCATAATGACCACTGGTTCCACTCGGTGTTCCCTCCAGTCACTTCAGATAACTTGCCACAGTGACCACAGGTTCCTCATAGTGTTCCCTCCGGTCCCTGTAGATAATACCTACACAGAGACCACTGGATTTTCTCGGTATTCCCTCCTCTTGTCCCTATAAATAACACCTTCACTGTGGTCAGAGATTTCTTCCAGTGTTCCCTCCAGTTTCTAAAGATAACATCAACACAATGACTTCTGGTTCCTCCCAGTGTTCCTTCCAGTCCCTGTAACAGTGACCAGTGGCTCCCCCAGAGTTCTTTTAGTCCCCCTGTAGATAACACCATCACAGTGACCAGAGGATCCCCCAGTGTTCCCTCCACACCCTGTAGATAATGCCATCACAGTGACCAGTGACTCCCCCAGTGTTCTCTTAGTCCCAGTAGATAACACCATCACAGTGACCAGTGGCTCCCCCAGTGTTCTCTAAGTCCCCCTGTAGATAACACCATCACAGTGACCAGAGGTTCCCCCAGTGTTCCCTCCATTCCCTGTAGATAACACCATCACAGTGACCAGAGGTTTCCCCAGTGTTCTCTTAGTCCCTGTGGATAACACCATCACATTGACCAGAGGTTCCCCCACTTTTCTCTTAATCCCGTAGATAACACCATCACAGTGACCAGAGGTTCCCTCAGTGTTCCCTCCATTCCCTTTAGATAACACCATCACAGTGACCAGAGGTTCCCCTAGTGTTCTCTTAGTCCCTGTGGATAACATGATCACATTGACCAGATGTTCCCCCACTTTTCTCTTAATCCCGTAGATAACACCATCACAGTGACCAGAGGTTCCCTCAGTGTTCCCTCCATTCCCTGTAGATAACACCATCACAGTGACCAGAGGTTCCCCTAGTGTTCTCTTAGTCCCTGTGGATAACATCATCACATTGACCAGATGTTCCCCCACTTTTCTCTTAATCTCGTAGATAACACCATCACAGTGACCAGAGGTTCCCTCAGTGTTCTCTTCATTCCCTGTAGATAACACTATCACAGTGCTAGAGGTTCGCCCAGTGTTCCTTCCATTCCCTGTAAATAACACCAACACGGTGACCAGAGGTTCCCCCAGTGTTTTCTTAGTCCCTGTAGATAACACCATCACAGTGACCAGAGGTTCCCCCAATGTTCCCTCCATTCCCTGCAGATAACACCATCACAGTGACCAGAGGTTCCCCCAGTGTTCTCTTAGTCCCTGTAGAAAACACTATCACAGTGCTAGAAATTCGCCCAGTGTTCCTTCCATTCCCTGTAAATAACACCAACACGGTGACCAGAGGTTTCCCCAGTGTTTTCTTAGTCCCTGTAGATAACACCATCACAGTGACCAGAGGTTCCCCAAATGTTCCCTCCATTCCCTGTAGATAACACCATCACAGTGACCAGAGGTTTCCCCAGTGTTCTCTAAGTCCCTGTGGGTAACACCATCACATTGACCAGAGGTTCCCCCACTTTTCTCTTAATCCCGTAGATAACACCATCACAGTGACCAGAGGTTCCCCCAGTGTTCTCTTAGTCCCTGTGGATAACACCATCACATTGACCAGAGGTTCCCCCACTTTTCTCTTAATCTCGTAGATAACACCATCACAGTGACCAGAGGTTCCCTCAGTGTTCCCTCCATTCCCTGTAGATAACACCATCACAGTGACCATAGGTTCCCCCAATGTTCCCTCCATTCCCTGTTAGTAACACCAACACGGTGACCAGAGGTTCCCCCAGTGTTTTCTTAGTCCCTGTAGGTAACACCATCACAGTGGCCAGAGGTTCCCTCAGTGTTCCCTCCATTCCCTGCAGATAACACCAACATGGTGACCAGAGGTTCCCCCAGTGTTCTCTTAGTCCCTGAAGATAACACCATCACAGTGACCAAAGGTTCCCTCAGTGTTCCCTCCATTCCCTGCAGATAACACCATCACAGTGACCAGAGGTTTCCCCAGTGTTCTCTTAGTCCCTGTGGATAACACCATCACATTGACCAGAGGTTCTTCCAGTGTTCCCTCCATTCCCTGTAGATAACACCATCACAGTGACCATAGGTTCCCCCATTGTTCCCTCCATTCCCTGTAAATAACACCAACACGGTGACCAGAGGTTCCCCCAGTGTTTTCTTAGTCCCTGTAGGTAACACCATCACAGTGACCAGAGGTTCCCTCAGTGTTCCCTCCATTCCCTGCAGATAACACTATCACATTGACCAGAGGTTCCCCCAGTGTTTTCCTAGTCCCTGTAGATAACAACATCACAGTGACCAATGGTTCCCCCAGTGCTCCCTCTGGTCCCTGTAGATAACACCATCACATTGACCAGTGGTTCCCTCAGTGTTCCCTCCATTCCCTTTAGATAACACCATCACAGTGACCAGAGGTTCCCCTAGTGTTCTCTTAGTCCCTGTGGATAACATGATCACATTGACCAGATGTTCCCCCACTTTTCTCTTAATCCCGTAGATAACACCATCACAGTGACCAGAGGTTCCCTCAGTGTTCCCTCCATTCCCTGTAGATAACACCATCACAGTGACCAGAGGTTCCCCTAGTGTTCTCTTAGTCCCTGTGGATAACATCATCACATTGACCAGATGTTCCCCCACTTTTCTCTTAATCTCGTAGATAACACCATCACAGTGACCAGAGGTTCCCTCAGTGTTCTCTTCATTCCCTGTAGATAACACTATCACAGTGCTAGAGGTTCGCCCAGTGTTCCTTCCATTCCCTGTAAATAACACCAACACGGTGACCAGAGGTTCCCCCAGTGTTTTCTTAGTCCCTGTAGATAACACCATCACAGTGACCAGAGGTTCCCCCAATGTTCCCTCCATTCCCTGCAGATAACACCATCACAGTGACCAGAGGTTCCCCCAGTGTTCTCTTAGTCCCTGTAGAAAACACTATCACAGTGCTAGAAATTCGCCCAGTGTTCCTTCCATTCCCTGTAAATAACACCAACACGGTGACCAGAGGTTTCCCCAGTGTTTTCTTAGTCCCTGTAGATAACACCATCACAGTGACCAGAGGTTCCCCAAATGTTCCCTCCATTCCCTGTAGATAACACCATCACAGTGACCAGAGGTTTCCCCAGTGTTCTCTAAGTCCCTGTGGGTAACACCATCACATTGACCAGAGGTTCCCCCACTTTTCTCTTAATCCCGTAGATAACACCATCACAGTGACCAGAGGTTCCCCCAGTGTTCTCTTAGTCCCTGTGGATAACACCATCACATTGACCAGAGGTTCCCCCACTTTTCTCTTAATCTCGTAGATAACACCATCACAGTGACCAGAGGTTCCCTCAGTGTTCCCTCCATTCCCTGTAGATAACACCATCACAGTGACCATAGGTTCCCCCAATGTTCCCTCCATTCCCTGTTAGTAACACCAACACGGTGACCAGAGGTTCCCCCAGTGTTTTCTTAGTCCCTGTAGGTAACACCATCACAGTGGCCAGAGGTTCCCTCAGTGTTCCCTCCATTCCCTGCAGATAACACCAACATGGTGACCAGAGGTTCCCCCAGTGTTCTCTTAGTCCCTGAAGATAACACCATCACAGTGACCAAAGGTTCCCTCAGTGTTCCCTCCATTCCCTGCAGATAACACCATCACAGTGACCAGAGGTTTCCCCAGTGTTCTCTTAGTCCCTGTGGATAACACCATCACATTGACCAGAGGTTCTTCCAGTGTTCCCTCCATTCCCTGTAGATAACACCATCACAGTGACCATAGGTTCCCCCATTGTTCCCTCCATTCCCTGTAAATAACACCAACACGGTGACCAGAGGTTCCCCCAGTGTTTTCTTAGTCCCTGTAGGTAACACCATCACAGTGACCAGAGGTTCCCTCAGTGTTCCCTCCATTCCCTGCAGATAACACTATCACATTGACCAGAGGTTCCCCCAGTGTTTTCCTAGTCCCTGTAGATAACAACATCACAGTGACCAATGGTTCCCCCAGTGCTCCCTCTGGTCCCTGTAGATAACACCATCACATTGACCAGTGGTTCCCCCAGTGTTCTCTACGTCCCCCTGTAGATAACACCATCACAGTGACCAGTGGTTCCCCCACTTTTCTCTTAGTCCCCTGTAGATAACACCATCACAGTGACCAGAGGTTCCCCCAGTGTTCTCTTAGTCACTGTAGATAACACCATCACAGTGACCAGAGGTTCTCTCAGTGTTCCCTCCATTCCCTGCAGATAACACCATCACAGTGACCAGTGGTTCCCCCAGTGTTCTCTAAGTCCCCCTGTAGATAACACCATCACAGTGACCAGTGGTTCCCCCAGTGTTCTCTACGTCCCCCTGTAGATAACACCATCACAGTGACCAGTGGTTCCCCCACTTTTCTCTTAGTCCCCTGTAGATAACACCATCACAGTGACCAGAGGTTCCCCCAGTGTTCTCTTAGTCACTGTAGATAACACCATCACAGTGACCAGAGGTTCTCTCAGTGTTCCCTCCATTCCCTGCAGATAACACCATCACAGTGACCAGTGGTTCCCCCAGTGTTCTCTAAGTCCCCCTGTAGATAACACCATCACAGTGACCAGTGGTTCCCCCAGTGGTCTCTTAGTCCCCTTGTAGATAACACCATCACAGTGACCAGAGGTTCCCCCAGTGTTCTCTTAGTCCCCCTGTAGATAACACCATCACAGTGACCAATGGTTTCCCCAGTGCTCCCTCTGGTCCCTGTAGATAACACCAACACGGTGACCAGAGGTTCCCCCAGTGTTCTCTTAGTCCCTGTAGATAACACCATCACAGTGACCAGAGGTTCCCCCAGTGTTATCTTAGTCCCTGTAGATAACACCATCACAGTGACCAGAGGTTCCTCCAATGTTCCCTCCATTCCCTGTAAATAACATCAACACGGTGACCAGAGGTTCTCTCAGTGTTCCCTCCATTCCCTGCAGATAACACCATCACAGTGACCAATGGTTCCCCCAGTGTTCTCTAAGTCCCCCTGTAGATAACACCATCACAGTGACCAGTGGTTCCCCCAGTGTTCTCTTAGTCCCCTTGTAGATAACACCATCACAGTGACCAGAGGTTCCCCCAGTGTTCTCTTAGTCCCCTTGTAGATAACACCATCACAGTGACCAATGGTTTCCCCAGTGCTCCCTCTGGTCCCTGTAGATAACACCAACACGGTGACCAGAGGTTCCCCCAGTGTTCTCTTAGTCCCTGTAGATAACACCATCACAGTGACCAGAAGTTCCCCCAGTGTTCCCTCCATTCCCTGTAGATAACACACCATACTGTCTACTAGTTCCTGCTATTTTCCCATCCAGTCCCTGTAGATAACACCATCACAGTGACCAGAAGTTCCCCCAGTGTTCCCTCCATTCCCTGTAGATAACACACCATACTGTCTACTAGTTCCTGCTATTTTCCCATCCAGTCCCTGTAGATAACCCCATCACAGTGACCAAGATTTGCTGTCCCATCCTCCGTTGTTCATGCATTTTGAAACGGTCAACATATATTGTTTTTTATCCGGTTAATGTTCTCTTGGAAATGCTGATAAAGTCAGGAATTCATTGGAACTAGTGCAGTAATATCAGTCATGTCAAAAAGGACATGGACAACGCATAAACACATGATTTTATTACATGTCTTATAACAAAGACAATAAATGCAGGTTTTGAAAATAATTGATGACCATTAGATAAATGTTATATATACACAAAACGATAATTAATTCATATATAAGAAATGAATCTGCTGCAATGTCATTGCAATACTTTGGCACTAATTATTGCATATATACATAAAAATGTTGATATGTAGTTATACAACACATTGGGATCCTTTTTCTGTAATATTCAACACTATGTTCACTCATACTAAATAGTCCATTTCTCCTACAGTTGTACACTGACATATATTTCACTGTTTCACAATTCATTGGAGAATTGATATCGACTTTTCAATCTTAAATCACATTGGTGTAATTAAATATGACGTGATATAACTGATTGATAATTAAAACCATTAATTATAAGTACTGATATCAAATACTCCATTTGGATAATAAATATAACTATAACTACTGACGTCACTATAACAAAAGTTGTGATATCTCAAAATAGAAAAAAAACCAATAACCTAATTAGATGTTATCACTAAATGGAGCTAACTGACATCGCATGTAGCTGACCCCACCCCCTAAACAAAATCATATACATGTTGTAATATTGACTATGAAAACAAGAGATCTCGATCTGTCTGATTGCATTGGCAACGACACCTGTCAAAAGTTTCTCTGGAATTGAACATTTAACGATGTAGGTAGATGTAGAGCCCCAGGTGCAACATCAAAATGATCTCTTTAAGGAACATTGGAACAGTATATCATTTGACAAGAAATCGGTAAAGTAGGTAATATAGATAGCATACATACTGTTATAGGTAAAATGGCACATTGTATATACTGTAATAGGTAAAATGGCACATTGTATATACTGTAATAGGTAAAATGGCACAATAATAAAACAAAATTTTATCCAAATGTATGCCTCAATATTCCTGGTGTAGCTTAGAACACAAATATTAACTGGGCAAAAATTCTCCCTATTGAAAATTCAATTGTTTATCAGAACGTGTTCAGAGAAGCAAGCAGCCATTAGAATTATTAGATGCCCTTATTGACACTGGTATCTGATAATAAATACAGGTACTGTGGATATTGCACAACTCCCGGGACTTCATTTGAATTTCATAGCACTAATTAAATATTTATGTATATTTGTATATATATGTATATATATGTTTATGTATATAACATTTTACGCCTTATCATTTTGATTCAGATTTACAAAATCCGAGAACTTTTATCTCTTAAACAAATGTGATGGCCTCATTTCAGTACAAATTACTCTGACGTTCAACTCTTGACTGATTTAAAAGTTCAACAAACGTATGATATAATTCGGATTCGGTTATATAGTGTAACTAAACAGCACTTCGTTACCACAGAAAGTGTCTTTCTTATGTGTCTTGTTTTACAAGCTATTGACACATTTAAAAAAGTTTTCCCCAGTGTGACGTACACATTACAATGCGTTCTTGCTTTCATGGGATTATTTTTAGTATCGTCGGAATGTTAATACTAATTATACATTCTAGACAAACATTTTATTAAAGAAAAGGACATATCAATCGAGAAGATGAAATATACCGTTTCACTGGAGTGATTCGTGTTTGGTCGCTGTGTCACCGCCACCAAAGGACGTTGAAGTTCATTGCATACAGGAACTGTGTCCACTGAGCAAAAATGAGAAAATCATAACATTTTCGTCCTTTTATATCTCTAAAACCGGTCGATGCATTACCAAAATTGCTTTTTGAATAATAAGCGGTGTCTTTGTGCAAGAGGCTACAGAACACTTTAAAGTATAGGAACGGTTTCTTCTGTCAGTTTGAAAAGTGAAAAGGCGAAAAAATATCTTAATAATTGCGTTGAATAATTAAACTACTTTGAAATTAAATAAAACGATGCATTTTAAGTGAGACTGCTTGGTCTAATTTTCATCTCAGCACTTCTCAAGGAATAGTTCGACCCAGTCCAAGGTTTCCAAGTGACACCGTCGAAGAGCTTGGGCGGTATTACGCCGTTTCTGTAGTAGATCCCATTTAAATTTGACATGTAACACTTGTAATACCACCAAGCTCCACTGAAACGTTTGGCACAGCTTCCTCCGAATTCTTTCGTTAATTTGTCGTTATCTACGTCCGTAGTTGAGAATTTGTGGTTGTTATGCTTTGCCATGCCATCACCTGCGTCTCCATGGTAACCACCGATATGAAGTCTGTACCCTTCCTCCTCGTCATCAACCATGAAGTAATCGTACTCAGCGAACTTTTTAGTTTTGTTCCAGTCCGTAAGTTCAATCATCAAGGTGTAGTGGTCCTGATTAGTAAGGTAGTGAATATGGTCGTTTCCAAGCCAATGCTCCCCACGAATGCCTGAAAGATAAGCAACGTTCATTGTGATATCTGAGAGAAGCTCTCTTTGGGTTGTGTTATCAATGCTTGTACGAAAGACTCACAAGAGAATAGCACATTTCAATACCAAGCAAGAAGCAGATGAAGTAGCACCAAATAATGAATTAAGCTTGATATTGGAGCTGTTTTGTCCTTTTAGGACTTGTCAGTGATGCTAAGAACCGAAAGCTAGGTACAGTCAACCCTCGTTACCTCGAAGTCGTCGGGAATATGGGAAACCTCGTGATAACCGATTACTTCATTTAAGTTCGAAGGTTTTTGTATAAAGCTAGTAAAGTACCGACGAAATGCTTCGAATTTAACGGAGTCTTTGAGCTATACAATTTCGAGATAACGGGATTAGCCTGTATCAGATTTCATTTCTTCAATATTTCGTAAAGTTTTGCTTCGGATCCGCTATGAAATATTTTTACCTCCAAATCCTTCTTTAAAGTCTCGCCATTTCTTCATGAATTTTGTGGTACCGTCTTGCCTTTTCTGAATCACAGTCCATCCACCATTTTTCATATCACAGTAGACTTCCACCATTGACTTCCTGCCGTATGGTTTGATCTTGAATACACCGTTCTTTTGCTTACCACGTTTGTAGTAGTCATAGCAATCTGCAAGGGTAAGTACCAGAAAAAGTAGTCTGATATTTGCAGAAAAGTATTGTCTTGCAAAGTAATGATACCAGAAGTGTATTTTACTATTCACTAATAACGTCCTATAGTTTCAACAAAGCCGTCTAGTGAAGAGTATTGTAGTAAGGTAGGTATTCCTGACAACTGAACACAGTGGATGACTAACCTGATGTTTCGAATAGGCCTCATCCACAACATGTGATACTACTGTCATTAGGTGAATCATATATAATTTAAACACAAAGCAAGTCTTGAATTTCTTGAAAAAGATGATGACGACGAAAATCGAAGTTTCATCTTTGTACATTGGATTCTATGGCAAGAAAGTTTTAGCTACAAACTCTCATCGAGGAGTGACTTATTTTCCATAAACACGTGATCAAAATTCCTAAAAAAAACGATTGAGTAATAGCTAAATAAGGTACATGTGTCATTCAAATGCTCAAAACACCGACTTGGAGTCAAACAGAGCAAATTCATCGATTACATTTACCAATTGGTCTGAAAAGCCAAAACGAGGCAATTCAAGTTTACAGTAACAGTTTGGAGCTGTATGAGTTTTACCTAAGTATGCTAGAACGTTGGTAATGAAATGTTTTATTACAAGGCACGAGGTTGAAAGGAGAGAGGCGCCAAGAACGGAAATACAGTGGTAAAAGTAACTGAAGGAAATAGTCTCAGCGAGTCGACATTTAAAACTTTACAGGAATTATTCGAAACAGGAGAAAATGGTAGGGAAAACACTTGCTACATCGTATGACAACATGAACAGGGCAGTAATTAAAAGTTTACCTTTTGGCTCTTTCTGTCCATTGGCTTGGTACTTTATCGGTTTCCTCAAAGGCTCCTTAGATTTTTTCTCTGCAGATTTAACGTTTACCACTTTCTCTTTTTCCTTCGTCTTTGGCTTTTCTTTCTTTTGTTGTTCCTTTTTAAGACTTTTGACGTCCTCCTTTTTAACAGCTTCCTTTTTGTCCTGCACCTGCTGTGTCTCAGGTGTTTCAGGTTTTGATTCCTTTGCATTGTTTGCATCTGCTTTCTTCTTCGTAGAAGTATCATCCATTACCTTGTCGGCATTTTCTGTGGATTTCTGTTTCGAACTTTGAGGTACTTTCTCTAAGTCTGATTCCTTGGAGGAACCTGTATGTTTTTGAGACTGTGCGTCCTCGGCTGTGTTTAGTTTCTCGACTTCTGCTTGCGATTTTTTATCCAGGAGCATTTTGTCTTTTTCTTCTCCGGCTATAGGTCTTTCCTCTTTTTCAATTATTTCGGATTTATGTTTTTCTGTATTTGACGCCGACCTCTTCACTTTTTCATCACCATCAGTTGCTTTAGAGTTATTGTCTGATAACTTTTGGCTAAGCACATCTTTTGTGGTAGTACCTGATTCCCCTTCTTTCGTTAAAGAAATATCGACTTGCTTGTCTTGCCTTTCAGTGACTTTAGCTACTTCTGGCGCAGTATTCTTTACGTCGTCTTCCTTTTCTACTACTTTTCGGCTTTCAGTGGGGAGTGTTGTGTTAGAATTTACATCGTTTCCATTTATTTCATTCTCTTTAGCATGTGAGGCTTTTAGCAAAGAAGCATCTTTAACGTTGTCCCCTTCTTTTTCAACCTGTTGAGTTTCATGTGTAGCAGGTACCTTATTGGTATGTGAATCTCCTTGCTTTTCATGTTCTTTATTTTCAGACGTTGTCTTCACAGTATCTTTTGTGTGCCCTTCTTTTTGTTCGGTAGTTTGACTGCCGTCAACTTTAGTATCAACCGTATGGATGTTTTCATTTGCAGATTTTTTATTTGGGGAATTTTTTTTCATTTTTTTCATTTCGTTGTTCGAGGAGACTTCTGATTTGGAAGCTGCTTCCTTTCTGTCGATAACTGAAGGTGCTTTAGAAGACGAATTTTCGTCAACATTAATTTCCTTGCCCAGTTCAAGTGTTGAAGGTCCTGGTGTCTTCAAGATATTTTTCTGTGTTTCTTCAGATCTATCCTGTTTGCATTTTTTCCATTGAAGTAGTGAATGAGGAACACATATCGATTTGATAAACGTTGCGAAAACGCAAGTTCCGGAGGAAGCCCCACACCAGGGTTCTGTTTTCTTCACACTTTCATTTAGCATGTATCTCTCAAGTTCCTCTTCAGATTTATTCTTATTCACAGAAGGCATTTTTTCTTGTTTTAATTTCATCTCGTCATCTTCCAATGTTGTTTTTCGAACATCTGACACCATTTCTTCCAGTTTATACAACAGAAACTTGTCTGTTGTTTCGGTCACGCTCCGTTTGTTTACAATTTGCTCCATCTGCTGTCGGATTTTTTGTGCCTCGAATCTCTGTTGAATATTTTGCTCTGTAAGGTCCTGAACTCTGGTCATAATCTGGGTCATCAACGCTGTTTGATTCATGATCATGTTATAAAGCAGTCGATTCTGGTCCTCCAAATATTCAGATCTCGACTTAAGTTGCCTTATAGTCATAGACTGATTACTCAAAAGTTTCGTCAAGTAGGTGATCTTTGCCTGAAAGTCAACACTGATGGGATGGATTCGTCCGCTTACAGCAGAGTACCCATAAGCTGGTGTTTGTTGGGAGTTATGGCCGAGTTCAAGATATTTCTTCCGATCCTTCACCATTGAATCGCTCTTTTCTTTGATTTCAGTGTAACTCTGATTAAGCTTCAATAGTTCATTCTCAAGTCGAAGTATATGATTTTCCATCCTTGTAATAGTACTTGAGTGATTGTTTTTGTTAAGTTTTTCCTTCAATAATTGATTTTCCAACCTAACGACCATCAGCTCAAGATTCTGAAGTTTGTTTGAATAACTCTCTGTTTTACTGACCACTTGTTCTTGAAAATCATCAAAATTTGATTGAATTTGTTCGAGAAAATGATTTTGGTCTCGCATGCTTGTAGCCTTACTATTGATTTCCTTTGAAGGTTGTTTTTCGTCAACTTTTCCATGCTCACCTTTTGTTCGTTTTTCTTCAATTTCTGTTTGTTTCCCATCAAAAGTTCTTTCTGATTTTTTCAGCTTATCGATTTCTAATTTCATCCCTGACACTTCACTCTCTATCACTTTCGAGTCTCCTATTTCTACTGTTGGTGACATTTCGTCATTTCGTCTGTCATCATTGTCACTGCTGCTCTTATCCTCCGTGTCCGTTTCTGGTGTTAAAACCTTAACTGTAGTTTCTGATATTGCTTGAAAGTTTGTTTCCTGTTTTGTCTTTTGTTCAATTCCTGGTCCGGTCTTCTCTGTGGTTTCATCATTCCCTTTGTTTTCATCTCCATCTCTGACAATTTTCGGCTGGTCAGAGTTTGCGTCTAGTGATGAGATTTCACTATCTGACATTCGAATGTCGTTGTCACTAGACAAATCGTTTCCTTGATTGTCTTCTATCTTTTCTGTAGCAACAGTATCAGTGATATCTGTTTTGCCTCCGCTGCTAGCTCCAATTAAATCTGTATCTTTCTCGTCGGTTTTTTCATCATCTTTAGAATGACTTTGTGTATCTGACTTTTCCTTTATACTTCTTGATGGTGTTTCCAAAATGTCTTTTTCTGTCTCGTTCTCATTTCCAGATTTTGATGTTTCCATTCCTAGTGTAGTTTCCTTGGTTATATGAGAATCACTCTTAGTGTTCTTTTGATTTGTTTGCGTTTCGTTTGATTTTAATCCATTGAACCTACTTCCAACACTATTTCCACTACAAGAAGTGTTCGATGTAGAGTGTTGCAACAGAAGACTACATGGTGAACACACAAGTCTATTGTAAGTTAAGGTCACCGGGGAGGATAATCTTGATACACTAATATCTTGATCTAACTTCGATTTTTCCTGACTAAAACTATTTTGTAGTTTCGTTTGATTACTAAGTGTCGTATTTTCTACAAATTCAACCGTGTTCTGCACGAGATCGAATATATCAAACTGGTAGCTACATATTGCCCTACACATTCCGAAAGGAACGTGCTCATGTTCTCTTACTGAATCGGTAACGGGTGTGTTAGACGATAGTCTGGAAATGTCCCCTTTTTTCTTCTCAGTGTTACTGAAACCCCCGACACTAGCCTCCACTTCACTTTTTTCCTTTTGGTTAACAATCTCCTTGGTGTATTTTTCCTTGTCGTTGCTTTCTTCGTCTGACAATTCTTCACCAACACCAGACATTCCCTCTGCGTTTGTTTCCTGTGTGCTGTCCGCATCGATCGCTGCACTTTCCGCAGTTTGCTTGTCTTTATCTTCACCTACGTTTTTTTCATTTCCTTTCTGATTTGTTTGTCTATCTGACGGTTCATTTTCCATCCCTTTGGTGTCATCCGTTTCTTTAGTTTCGACTTTTCTGTTTTCATCCTTTTCATCCTTGCTTTTATCTGTAGAATCATCATCACTGACTAAAGTTTCCTCGCTAATTTCTACAGATCTATCGTTATCATCAGATGTTCTTTCATCAAATTCCTCAATTGATGAAGATGTTAAACTTTCATGTTCAGTTTTATCTAAATCCTTGGATGGATCATCTGATAATATCTTTTCTTCAACTATTTTCAATGTCTTCGTTTCCTCCTCGTCTTCTTCTTCCTCCTCTACTCCCTCTTCGTCATCGTCATATGAATCATCAGAAAGCAGTTCTGTTTCATCTACTTCCGTTTCTTCATTTTCGGTTGTATCTGTTTCATCATTATCAGTCTCGTGTGAAGTGTCTTGCTCTGTGTCCTCGCCTGCTGATTTAACCGTAGCACCTCCACTATTGTCCAATGCATTGTTCGTTTCGTCGTCGTTAGCATTACCGCTTAACAATGAATCATCTTCGCTCGATTTCATTTCTTCATTTGATTTTGACTCGCTTTCTTCTGTTTCTGCTGTAGTCCCGGCTGTGGAGCCTCCATCTGAATCATCAGATGACGCAACTTCCTGTGTTGTATCAGAATCACTTCTTTGCTGGTCATTATTTTCTTCGTTGTCTTTTTGTGTATCATTCACATCTCCTTCGTCGTCAGGTTTTAGCATCTCCTCGTACATTTCTAGAATATCACAACTGACTTTTCCTTTTGATGTGTCCTTTTTGCTTCTCAAAACCATTTCGTTGATAGTCTTTCGTATGATAATTTGTTCTTCACTAAGTTTCCCGTCAAAAGCTCCCTGTGATGTTAATTTCAGATACCACATTCTGACGTCACAGTCTTCTGTTCTGAAATTGTAAGGAATCGTATATTACTGTAAAATACATCACGAGTTGTGATTAACAAGGGAAGCGAGATGAAAGGCTTGCATGTGTGATGGCCGTGGTTTGAAGTTTGGGAATGTGTGGAATGGGGAGAGGGAGGCACGAGTTGATTGAAGTATAAAGGGGCGTTTGATGGCGAAAGAGGATGGATGAGAATAAAGAGGGGTATGAATTGGAGTAAAGTAGCGAAACATGTTAAGGATGGAGCAAAGAGATTAATGTGGTGGAGATGAGAAGAAATGTATGGTTTTGAGAGAGTCTGGGTGAAATATGGGTTGTAGAGGGGTAGACGTTATTGGATATGGGTTGTAGAGGGGTAGACGTTATTGGATATGGGTTGGAGATGGGTAGACATTGTTAGATATGGGTTGTAGAGGGGTAGACGTTATTGGATATGGGTTGTAGAGGGGTAGACGTTATTGGATATGGGTTGTAGAGGGCTAGACGTTGTTAGATATGGGTTGTAGAGGGGTAGGAATTGTTAGATATGGGTTGTAGAGGGGTAGAAATTGTTAGATATGGGTTGTAGAGGGGTGGACATTGTTAGATATGGGTTGTAGAGGGGTAGACATTGTTATATATGGGTTGTAGAGGGATAACATTGTTAGATATGGGTTGTAGAGGGATAACATCGTTAGATAGGGGTTGCAGAGGGGTAGACATTGTTAGATATGGGTTGTAGAGGGATAACATTGTTAGATATGGGTTGTAGAGGGATAACATCGTTAGATAGGGGTTGCAGAGGGGTAGACATTGTTAGATATGGGTTGTAGAGGGGTAGACGTTGTTAGATAGGGTTTGGATAGGGATAACATTGTTAGATAGGGGTTGCAGAGGGGTAGACGTTGTTAGATATGGGTTGTAGAGGGATAGCATTGTTAGATAGGGGTTGGAGAGGGGTAGAAATTGTTAGATAGGGGTTGTAGAGGGATAACATTGTTAGATAGGGGTTGGAGATGGGTAGACATTGTTAGATAGGGGTTGGAGAGGGATAACATTGTTAGATATGGGTTGTAGAGGGGTAGACATTGTTAGATATGGGTTGTAGAGGGATAGCATTGTTAGATATGGGTTGTAGAGGGGTAGACATTGTTAGATATGGGTTGTAGAGGGATAGCATTGTTAGATATGGGTTGTAGAGGGGTAGACATTGTTAGATATGGGTTGTAGAGGGGTAGACATTGTTAGATATGGGTTGTAGAGGGATAGCATTGTTAGATAGGGGTTGGAGAGGGATAACATTGTTAGATAGGGGTTGGAGAGGGGTAGACATTATTAGATATGGGTTGAAGAGGGGTAGACATTGTTAGATAGGGGTTGGAGAGGGGTAGACGTTGTTAGATATGGGTTGTAGAGGGATAACATTGTTAGATATGGGTTGTAGAGGGATAACATTGTTAGATATGGGTTGTAGAGGGATAACATTGTTAGATATGGGTTGTAGAGGGATAACATTGTTAGATATGGGTTGCAGAGGGGTAGACGTTGTTAGATATGGGTTGTAGAGGAATAACATTGTTAGATATGGGTTGTAGAGGGGTAGACATTGTTAGATATGGGTTGGAGATGGGTAGACATTGTTAGATATGGGTTGTAGAGAGGTAGACATTGTTAGATATGGGTTGGAGATGGGTAGACATTGTTAGATATGGGTTGTAGAGGGGTAGACATTGTTAGATATGGGTTGTAGAGGGGTAGACGTTGTTAGATATGGGTTGCAGAGGGGTAGACGTTGTTAGATATGGGTTGTAGAGGGGTAGACGTTGTTAGATATGGGTTGCAGAGGGGTAGACGTTGTTAGATATGGGTTGGAGATGGGTAGACATTGTTAGATATGAGTTGTAGAGGGGTAGACATTGTTAGATATGGGTTGGAGATGGGTAGACATTGTTAGATATGGGTTGTAGAGGGGTAGACGTTGTTAGATATGGGTTGTAGAGGGGTAGACGTTGTTAGATATGGGTTGTAGAGGGGTAGACGTTGTTAGATATGGGTTGGAGATGGGTAGCGCGAAGTATAGGTTCGGGAGGGGTAAAGAGAGTTATGTATTGAAGAGGGGTAAAGAGAGTTATGTATTGAAGAAGGGTAGAGAAATGTATGTATTGAAGAAGGGTAGAGAGGTATGTATTGAAGAGGGTAGAGAGAGGTATGTATTGGAGAGTTGAATTTGTCCTTATTTCTCTTTCTGCCTTTCAGAATATCCCATTTTATATCATGAAAATTTTTCAAATATTGTCCTATATCCTCCTTCGTATGAACCGGAGAGTATTGTATAAAACCCGTGGGAGATCGGATCGTTAACATCAAAATCACATGCAACAGTGATAAAGACAAAATTAAGTTAAATTCATATTTCAGACCTTTTGTGACGTAAATTATACAGTAAAATATATGATTTGATAAATAACTTGTCTATGACAGATTAAGTGTAACTACTGAGCCGTGATCATCTGCATATGCCAAACGGAAGCTAAAACTACATAGACCGCGCTGCTGAGGCTGATTTGACACGTGCCGGTTGGCATGGCGGGCGCGCGTGCGATGGGTAAATAACACGGCGCGTGCCTGGCAAACATCACAGGGATGTAAAAAATATATATGTAGGTAAAATGATCCATATCACATAGAAGTCTTTAATTAATGAGAGTTAGCCGTTTTTCAACCTTTTTAACTTTTTCATGAGTATATATTTATATATGTTGTCAGTCAATAGATATTATGAAGACATCTACAGTATAGGGTCGCGTTGATCACTCGCTACCTTTCTACAAAGTTATCTAAAATAAATTTAAAATTTAAAACGGCAAAAATAAAACAGACACCCCGTATCCTAACCGAAAACACACACACACACACACACACACACACACACACACCTATTCCTACTTTAGTGCCACTTATCTCCGAGTGAAAAAGAAAAGTTGGTTCTCATCTGATAAGGGTTATATTGACAATAGTTGCCGGCCGTTTACAAGCACCCAGTAAACACCAGCTTTATCAAAATCTCGCACTGCTATATATATTCATAAGTCGATAGCATATATTCCACATGTAGAAAAATAGGCATAAACAATAACAAAATAAATAATAACAAAGTAGAAAAACAACGTTTGTATCATTTAATGTAGAAAAACAACGTTTGTATCATAGTAATGTAGAAACAAACTATCAATAATTTACGTATAAAACAAAAAATCACTTACCTGATTAATTTGACGACAAATAAGAAAGTTATCACTGCACTTGCCGTGTTCATACTTCTTTAGTTATTTAGATAAAATAATCTGTAAGTTGTTTGTGTTTTGCATGGACTACCACGTCGGTTTTTATTGATAATTGACACCACGTGGTGACGTGGCTTCGTGTACACATCACCAGGCATCGATCACATACCCCGCCTTTTAAATAAAGACTTGTTTCTTTGTGTATATAAGCCATATCTGACGACACAAACTTCCATATCGATTAGGTTTGTAACATGTGTTGAATGAACTTGCTACGTCACTTCAGTCCGAACTTTCACCTCTGTCGCATAATGTATCGTTCTCGGGAATAAGTAGGATATATTTGTTCGTTTAATGGTCATTTTGAAAAATATTAATTTAAAATAGATTTGTATATAAAATGTCATTTTGCATCTAGAAAAGCTTCGTCGATCCAGGGACGTATAATACATATGATGTATTATACGTCCCTGGTCGATCAAATAGCTTTAAGATATGAAAACAACTTTATGAAATATTATATATGATAGTCACATAATACGCTTACTTGTTTTCAGATTGTGTGTAATCTAACACCTCCTCTAAAACACCAAGAACTTACATGGTATCTCAATCCTCTGTATTATACGTCCTCATTTATTTATTTATCTTTATTTATTTTATCTGGTTTTCTCTGTGACGTCATTAGGATATACAAATTACGTGCATATTATGGATGCACACAAGATATACGGTTGTCGTTGACTTTCGGTATGCACATGTATGATTCTTATTAACCCCAACAAATCGAGATCGAGTACAAGTTATGTGTTTATATTGTGAACTTATGCAAGTCTATGAAAAGGAGGCCTTCCCAAACTGAGAGGGTATATTCCATTGGTCATGCGCACACGTAATATTCTATTCTTACACACTTCCGCTTGGCGCACTTTGAAATGGAGGCACGTTTTGTTTTGATGGAGATTTTTTCATGTTGAACATCGTTTTGTCGAAGAAATGCCAACTATAGAAAACGGCAAAGGCGACGGAGAAGAGGAAATGGAACAGGAAACGCCAGATAGTGACAAAAGTTCAGAAGATGAGTCTGAATTGGGTTCTATGGATGAAGATGAGTCGGGTATGTGATACCGTTAGAGTGATCTCCCTGTAAGGAATCCCTGTGCATCGATGGAGACTGCATTAGTTCAATGTTCTTTCTTTTGGGAATATTTCTAACCACATCTCAAAACCGATGCGTTATTTTTTGGCTGTACAATCAATAAACTGTATTAACTCCGTTACTAAATAACGCGAAGTTGAATGAATGCTTTGTTCACAGATGCTATGTTATTGCCATTTTTATCACCTGCTCCCCCGGGCCCCTCGTTCGAATTATTCTGACTTTTTGATTCTGTCGACTTTTCAAAAAATAGTTACATCAGTCTGGAGTTCATTGACTGATGTTGATCGCGTCTATAGAACGTCAGAATAATTAAGACTACAGCCCCTCCCCTCTTCCCTAACCCCATCTGCTGAAATGACATTAATGAATGATTGACTAAAGGTTTACTTTCATTTTATGTGTTTGTTTATTTGAATGTTAATGTGTAGTGTAAACCAATGAGTAACAGAAATACAAGTAAATAGATGCTACTTAGATCCCTAGGGGAAGTAACATTACACTCCAATCTCCTGATACACTTGGTTCAACTATGGATCCAATATTACAATTCTAGAACGCTACTGGTCAAATTGGCATATTATCACATATACTGTATATGTATTGGTGCTTATCACTTATTTTTTATCATACGAGACCATTCTTGTCCTAGTGTACTGATGGAGCCACATAGAAATTCAAAGTAATATGTAGCTGGAAGGCGACTGATAATCCAATAGTCATACATTTAAAAATCCCATATAGTAGTCAAATAGTCAAAATATGAAGGAGATCAAAAACTATCAACAGTCTACAAAGGTAGGTTTCATTTTAAAACAATTTTGAACATGTGTATAAAGGCAATGGCAGTTGTGTGCAAGTAGCCTTGTTCTGCATTCAAAATAATATTCACCAGACAGCTAAAGGGATGGGGCCAGCTTTCGCAGTCATCTTTGTGCCAAAGGAGATGGGTTTCCATGGACTAAATATATTTTCGCATTATTTTAGACTGAAATATGGCGTTCTGAAAAATCATGAACCCTTTAAAAGATGAATACGGTAATGAAAATTACACTTCTCCAGTTAGAAGCCTTACTACCATGCCTAAGGGAAATCATTACTAGCTGAGTGTAATTAGGTGACCTGTTTTCCCTGCTTCACAAAGTCTACTACTAACGGTAGAATAGAGTACTATTTTCACCAGTCACTAAGGCCAATTACAATGTTTAACTTCTGTACACATTTTCAACACTTGGTGTTCCATTTAAAGTAAAATGTAACATATTGTCTGTTTCAGAACTGGACGAAGAAGAATGTGAAAGACGTAAAAATGAGTTCCTGGATGACATGATTGATCTTGAAAGACAATTCACAGACCTTAAAGAGCAGTATGTATTATGTGAGAGAAAAAAAAAATTAATTTGTTGATGAAAATGGCTTCCATTAACACTCAAAGCATTTCACATGTATGCAATCATTTTGGTTTGTCTGGTGCAAAAATGAACATTTTTTGAGTAGGTTGTGTAAAATATATGACCAAAAAATGAAGGTTGGTGCCATACCAAATACTTATATTGTTATTGCTACAGTATGAATTGATTGTATGAAATATAGACAAGTCAATTGCACCTTTCAGTACAAATTTAGAATAAGATAAAGCACAGCCAAATAATGAATAAAACTGCATCACACAGATGTTTCATATTTCATTCTCGTCCGTGATACTAGAAATCTAAAATTTAAAACCTCACCATATATTTATAGGCTTTACAAGGAGAGGATGGGGCAGTATGAAGCCAAACTTGAGGAAGTAAAGGCAGGGAGAGCTATTGAGTACCTCAACCCTCTGGCTGAGCTCCAGGACAATATGAGGATTCGTATACAGGTGTCAGGTACAGAGTAATGAGAAAAGAGAGACCAACTATAATAGGCAGGAATGTTCATAGTCATCTCTGTTATAGATAAAGTTAAATAGACAATAAAGAATATGACTTATTAACAAATTAAAAAAAATATTTGTTTTACCAAATCAAAAATTTTTTGAAACAGATTTTGTTTTGCCGAAAAAAGATACATTGTGAACATAAGGGATCAATTTTAATGCATTTCAAATATTGTTGGTTTTCATTATATTTATTTCAGGAATTTTGAAAGAATACAGAAAAATAAGTATCCAGAATAAATATGAGAGTGAAGAACTTGCTACGAGACAAAATATGGAGGTAACTTTTTCAAAATTATGTTAAACCATACTCCTCTTAAGATCACCAAGTCCTTTCTACCATAAAGTCACCCTGGCTGTCTTATCTTACAGTCACAAAGATCACCATTTGTCTTATCTTACAGTCACATAGTCACTATGTCCGTCTTATCTTACAGTCACATAGTCACCATGTGTGCCCTACCATACTGTTACATACAGGTCACCATGTGTGCCCTACCATAGTCACATACAGGTCACTGTGTGCCCTCCAAAACAGTCACATACAGGTCATCATGTGTGTCCTCCCAAACAATCACATACAGGTCACCATGTCTGCCCTACTATATAGTCACATACAAGTCACCATGTTTGCCCTACCATACAGTCACATACAGGTCACTGTGTGCTCTACTATAGTCACATAAGGTCACCATGTCTGCCCTACTATACAGTCACATACAAGTCCCCATGTTTGCCCTACCATACAGTCACATACAGGTCACTATGTGTGCCCTACCATACAGTCACATACAGGTCACCATGTGTTCCCTACCATACAGTCACATACAGGTCACTATCTGTGCCCTACCATACAGTCACATACAGGTCATCATGTTTGCCCTACCATACAGTCACATAAGGTCACCATGTATGCCCTACTATACAGTCACATACAAGTCACCATGTTTGCCCTACCATACAGTCACATACAGGTCACTGTGTGCTCTACTATAGTCACATAAGGTCACCATGTCTGCCCTACTATACAGTCACATACAAGTCCCCATGTTTGCCCTACCATACAGTCACATACAGGTCACTATGTGTGCCCTACCATACAGTCACATACAGGTCACCATGTGTTCCCTACCATACAGTCACATACAGGTCACTATCTGTGCCCTACCATACAGTCACATACAGGTCATCATGTTTGCCCTACCATACAGTCACATAAGGTCACCATGTATGCCCTACTATACAGTCACATACAAGTCACCATGTTTGCCCTACGATACAGTCACATACAGGTCACCATGTCTGCCCTTCCATACAGTCACATACAAGTCACCATGTTTGCCCTACTATAGTCACATAAGGTCACCGTGTCTGTCCTACTATACAGTCACATACAAGTCACCATGTGTGCCCTACCATAGTCACATACAGGTCACTGTGTGCCCTCCAAAACAGTCACATACAGGTCATCATGTCTGCCCTACCATACAGTCACATACAGGTCATCATGTGTGTCCTCCCAAACAATCACATACAGGTCACCATGTCTGCCCTACTATATAGTCACATACAAGTCACCATGTTTGCCCTACCATACTGTCACATATAGGTCACTATGTGTGCCCTACCATACAGTCACCTTCAGGTCACTGTGTGCCCTACCATAGTTACATATACGTCACCATATGTGCCCTACAATACAGTCACATACAGGTCAATGTGTGTCCTAACATACAGTGACAAAGAGATCACAAGTTTTGTTTGTGTTTCTGTACTTGAATTTTTTCTGTTTTATTATCTCCAGACAAGAATGATTTATATTTTTTAACATGCAGATTTATTTCATTTTCCACTAAATTTTTCCTTTCTGTTTTCGACTTTTAAGAGTGAAAAGGATATATTATTTGACACTGTCAAGCAGGACTTGGAGGAGAAGATCCGACGACTTGAAGAAGACAGACATAATATAGATATATCATCAGGTAACTAGGCAGATATAAATATATCATCTGGTAACTAGGCAGTCATAGATACATCATCAGGTAACTAGACAAACATAGATACATCATCAGGTAACTAGACAAACATAGATACATCATCTGGTAACTAGGCAGACATAGATACATCATCTGGTAACTAGGCAGACATAGATACATCATCTGGTAACTAGGCAGACATAGATACATCATCTGGTAACTAGGCAGACATAGATACATCATCTGGAAACTAGGCAGACATAGATACATCATCAGGTAACTAGGCAGACATAGATACATCATCAGGTAACTAGGCAGACATAGATACATCATCAGGTAACTAGGCACAGATAGATACATCATCATGTAACTAGGCAGACATAGATACATCATCTGGTAACTAGGCAGACATAGATACATCATCATGTAGCTAGGCAGACATAGATGCATCATCTGGTAACTAGGCAGACCTAGATACATCATCAGATAACTAGATGTTTAAACATAGGTTGGAGGGAGATGTCATGATTCTCGACATCTCTAGGTGACCATGATAGCTCAATTGGTTAGAGTGTTGGCCTACAAAACATTAGGTGATGATCTGAACTAAGTTGTTCAACAGTTCAATACTTCTTTTCCATGGCAGTTTGTGCTTTCAGGAAGCGGAAAAAACCACCAAACAAATATATCAAACACTGGTGTTTAGGCAGAAAAACATTTGCAAACACAAAATTAAAGATAAAAATAGGATGTGCATGAAATATAGTGTATTGATGATAAATGATCATATATATATATAGAATACATGATCAGGGCCTTAAATATCAGCTGTATTTTGGCTAGGATGAAAAAGACAAAAGTGGTGAGCCTCTGTTTTCTGTCAGTGCCGAATACAGCAAAACTATATGTGACAGGTGCATTCCGACAATGGCAGTGCCAATTGCAGGACAAATTGTAAGTGATGGTAATTTTATGGTGTATATGTACATACATGTATTATATTTTTATACTTCAGACTTATGGAACGAATCACAGTTTATGAAGAAAAATAAAAAGAATAAAGACCCCTCCAACCCTGACAGACGAAAGAAACCTGTAACAGTGGCTGGTATCCTTCAGAGAACCATAATAATGATCAGTCAGCACTTTAATTAACTCTCCATGAATTTGTTCCATGTTCATTTGTGTCTTTGTTTTCAACTTTTTCCAAGTGTACTTTCAAATTTACTTTTATAGAGATATTTAAATTATACATTATTTTTACAGTCAAATTAAAATTCGAAATAATTCACCATTTTATTGTCATCATAGGAGACTGCCATTTCAAAAAACAGATTAAACTACTGTCGTAGCCCTACTTCATTCAACAATAATCAAGGTCAGAAAGCTGATATCGTCAACCTTATTTGTACACTTAGATTGAATCGAAATTCGGATGAGTCGAAATATTTTTTACAGTCCCTTTAATTTTTGAGATAACAAGTTTCAACTACATTTTGTGCTTAAAACATGTAGCTTAAGTGTTAAACCATAAGCACACTTCTAGATATCTGAAAGTTTCAACAATGTGGACAACATGCTTACTATAACATTCTCAATTTTTACCTTACTGTCCACCTGTTTGTTTTTGTCCAATTTTGTTATTTCTTAACACCCATTTCAGGTCCCTATATAGTTTATCTATTAAAAGATGTTGATATTATTGAAGACTGGACAGCTATTAAAAAGGTGAGTTTCAGTTTTTGTAGTCATGGTCATAATATTACAGGATACCAACTTTCTTTTTTATGACAACTAATTATTGTTATTTCAGCACCAAAAGGGGTTCAAGATCATTTGAACTGGCACGAAACGGAAGAAACTAGACTGCACTGTAGTAGATGATTATGGTCTTTGTTTTAATTTGCAATTGTTAACCTTCACAAATTTATTTCTGTAAACTATCTTTGAAACAAAAGTTAATTATGATTTTAAGATTCATTAAGATTACTAAAACAATTCCACAACATTGAAGTTTTTTCCTCATTAAATTATCACAACACCCATTACCTCTAAATGTATATGATTATGTTTGTATACTTACACTAATTGTGAGTTTGAATCCAATTATGAATGGAACATGTACCAAGATACATGTTTGTTTACAAGTAAATTGCTTCGTCTTTTTCAGGCTTTAAAACAAAATCAGAAAAGGAAAGCAGAGATCGAGTTTTGAGGCTTTTAGATATTCCATTAAAATACGAAGGTATTATTGTTTATCTTAATTAGAAAACTGTATGTTCATGTTGAATTTTGATGAGGAATCTGCCAACTGAACCACAAAGCTGTCACATAAAGTGGGAACAGTTCACAAAAGTATGTTAGGATCAAGGTCGTGCTCATAAAGAGGGGGCAAAGTTTTGCAATGTGTCTGTCCAACCATCCTTCCTTCCACTCTCCTGTTCAAGCCTTATCTTTTACACAACTAATCATTTCAACTACATATTATGAGATATGGGTTGTGCAACTTAGTGAGACAGTGTGTCATTTATCAAAAATAGGTCACTCTGACCTACATTTTGACCTTTGAACTTCATCAAACAAAATATATGTCCAAGATTTGTCTTCTACACTATTAGTCACTGGAACTTCATACTTGTCATATGGGTTCACTTCGTTGAGGGAGAGCGTTAGTAGGGAAATGTAATTTGCATAATTGTATTCTTAGATTTGTGGCTAGCTGTCACCACTGATGCAATATTTTTTTCTGATCCCAGTGGACAGAAAAGGCAGAAAAATAATGGTAAGCCTTAAATGTCTTCAGAAGTAAAGTGTTTTCATAGGTTTACAGATACACAGATGCCAGTGACAATTTATTTTCCAAATAGCTGTATTTTAAATATACGGGCAATCAGAAAATGAATTGTGACTGGCACCGTTGTTTAGATACACCAAATATAGCTGGTATTCATATTATGTAAAATTAGATTTGTGTAAGAAAACCAACTTGATTCAGTCAAGGTACTTATTGCTTGTTGTGAAGCATTGACCAGAAATAAGGGGGATTGAGAGAACATCCTGATCAAGTTTTGCAGAAATATTTTAGCAGGTTGATGTCTTAAAGGTTTTGTAGAAATATTTTAGCAGGTTGATGTCTTAAAGGTTTTGTAGAAATATTTTAGCAGGTTGATGTCTTAAAGGTTTTGTAGAAATATTTTAGCAGGTTGATGTCTTAAAGGTTTTGTAGAAATATTTTAGCAGGTTGATGTCTTAAAGGTTTTGTAGAAATATTTTAGCAGGTTGATGTCTTAAAGGTTTTGTAGAAATATTTTAGCAGGTTGATGTCTTAAAGGTTTTGTAGAAATATTTTAGCAGGTTGATGTCTTAAAGGTTTTGTAGAAATATTTTAGCAGGTTGATGTCTTAAAGGTTTTGTAGAAATATTTCAGTATTATTGTAAGATGATTCACTCTTTTTTTCTTTTCTTTTTTAAGCTGTTCAGGAAGTGTAATTACACAGTATGATAAGATATATCCAAGTTTGTAGGATAATGTTGTAAACATTGTGTGTAGAAATTTATGGTTGTCGCAGTCATTTTAACAATATGACAGTATAACAAATTTAGTTCTGATGGTCTTAAACAGAGAATATTATACTCCCACTCATACATCATCTTCATAATGTTTATATTCTTTATTTCAGAAATCAGGAAGTGCCCATCATCATGACATGAAGTTTGACCTTGGTCCATGATATAAATGTGTATGTAGGAGACTTTTCAGAAAAGCCTACATATACATCAGAAATAGGAAAAAACATTGTATAATGGCATCTTATAGAGGTGTACATCAAAAATAGGAAAATTCCTTGGTGATTGTCGGAGATATAGCATACTTCAGTCAAAAATAGGAAAATTCCTTGGTGATTGTCGGAGATATAGCATGCTTCAGTCAAAAATAGGAAAATTCCTTGGTGATTGTCGGAGATATAGCATGCTTCAGTCAAAAATAGGAAAATTCCTTGGTGATTGTCGAGTATATAGCATACTTCATGATATAAATGTGTATGTAGGAGACTTTTCAGAAAAGCCTACATATACATCAGAAATAGGAAAAAACATTGTATAATGGCATCTTATAGAGGTGTACATCAAAAATAGGAAAATTCCTTGGTGATTGTCGGAGATTTAGCATACTTCAGTCAAAAATAGGATAATTCCGTGGTGATTGTTGGAGATGTAGCATACTTCAGTCAAAAATAGGAAAATTCCAAGGTGATTGTCGGAGATATAGCATACTTCAGTCAAAAATAGGATAATTCCTTGGTGATTGTTGGAGATGTAGCATACTTCAGTCAAAAATAGGACAATTCCTTGGTGATTGTCGGAGATATAGCATACTTCAGTCAAAAATAGGATAATTCCTTGGTGATTGTCGAGTATATAGCATACTTCAGTCAAAAATAGGATGATTCCTTGGTGATTGTTGGAGATTTAGCATACTTCAGTCAAAAATAGGATAATTCCTTGGCGATTGTCAAGTATATAGCATACTTCAGTCAAAAATAGGAAAATTCCGAATTGTGCATTTGAAATATAGCGTATTTCAGAGATGTATAGCAGAAATGTAGATGCCACATTTTCTGTCTGTGAGACACACTATACATGTCCTGATAATGACATTCCATACATACATATGTTGGAAAATCTATACAGTATGCTTTTCCAAGCATTGCTGTGTAGACGACTATTGCAGCTAATTTCTTTTGATGGATTTTCAGTGTTGTGTTCAGTACAGTGTAATTTCTTGAAGAAAATACATACACACGAAACTGTTTGATATAAACACCCTTTAGTAAACAAGTGACTGTTACAGTCTTACTTACATGGGTACACTACCTCCAACATATCAAAAGAGTGTACCATTTGGTGTCAGAATTGATATTTGATATAAAGGGGGTTGAGTGGTCAAGTCATCTTTATCACTAGTCCTCCACCTCTAGGATGCAGGTTTGAGATGGACATGGGGCAGTTGTCAGATACTGATGGAGGTCAGCAGTTTTTCTCCAGGAACTCTGTCTTTCCTTCATCACCTAAATCTGGCATGCCCTTAAATGGCCCTGGCTGTTAATAGGAGGCAAAGCAAAATGAACTGCTATAAGTATTGTCATTATGACCAGGGACTTGGATATATCTTGGTCTAGGTCTGTGTAATGACTTAAAATTTTCAGAGAGTTATTGAAAGTGACACAGGAAAAAATTTGTTTATCTCACAATTAGAATTATCATTTGAATATAGCTTATCTTAAAATGCAATAAGATGACAGGTCTTCTCGTCATTAAATAGACATGTGGTTTTTATCTCCAGAGGTCAATGTCATTATAATGACATGTGCTTTTTATCTCCAGAGGTCAATGTCATTATAATGACATGTGGTTTTTATCTCCAGAGGTCAATGTCATTATAATGACATGTGGTTTTTATCTCCAGAGGTCAATGTCATTATAATGACATGTGCTTTTTATCTCCAGAGGTCAATGTCATTATAATGACGTGATTTTTCATGTCCAGAGGACAAGGTCATTTAACTAATATTTTTCCAGAAGTCAATGTCGTTAAATTGAAGTGTTACTTTCATGTCTAAAGCTCAAGGTCGTCATATTGATATATGGTTTTCATGTCAAGAAGTCAAAGTCATTAAATTAACATGTGCTTTTTACACATTGAAGGTTCAAGGATACACATATCAGACTTTAACTTTTTTCAGTTTCTAAACTGTTACAGTTAGAAAAATAGATATTAAAAGTTTGTAGAAAATAGTATAACTGATCTGAAATCATGTGTGAACAACTTTTTTTCATTTTCTTTTCACAACATTATTTACATCAACTTGTTTTAACCGAGTAGCAGTGATAGAAAAGATATGAAATGCATCTCTGACATAGGTTAGCCCCAAAAGAACATTAAAAATAAGAGTGACTGTTAACACGACTTTGTGTAGGTCATGTATATTGGTACATAACATGTTTATAAAAACCCAGTACGGAAATGAATCAGTGTGATGACGAGATATCCAAAATTCAATTTTAGAAAAAGAGATCTTAATGTTAAAGCAGTATCAATGTGTGGTAGTGCTCTGAGTGTGATTATTTTAAAAACTTGGGGTCAAAGATTTTAGTCATCCTTAAAGCACCACAAACATTGAACCTGACAAAACGTGATACAGTTGAGTCCTTGTAAATTGTTGTTCAATTTTATTCTCTTTATATATCTACTTTTGATGTAAAACTGGGTCCAACTTTTCAAAAGCATTTTGTCAAATACTAAAATTGTATGTATTTGGTTTTGAATTTTCTTTACCATTAAGACAAACACAGGAAAATGTCTCATATCTGTCATACACGTTTTTTTACCCAGAGATTTAGTCAGATTTTGCCAGGATTTTATGATGCATGTAATAAGTTTTCCTTCACTGAATGGCTACTTTCTTTTCACTGCAATACAAAGTGTTCATTATGGCAGTTAAAACAGACATATTCTCCTAGGTTTGTAAACATAGTGAAGGATATTTATCAATCTGTCAATACAACTGTCATTTCTCTTGTAAAATTTTGTAAATTAAAATATAAATGATGCATAACGATTTTGTTGGTTATATATATATATATCTACCTTTTTTTTAATTGACTATAGGTTGATTTTAAACAATCCTGCAGATAAATGAGTTTGTTGGGGTTATCCCCCTTTCAACAGCCATTTAGGGCGAAGTCTCCTTGTAGTTGTGAAGTACATAATAGTTCCTCACTATTGGCTGTCTACATGACAATGTATAAACATTGTATAAAAGATATCTGGAGTCTTAAAGATTTAAACTTATTTGAATGATGGTCTTGTTGAGTGAATATTTGTCTGGTCACAAACTTTACAGACAGACACTGTTTATTATATTTTACTATAAATATCTTGCATAATAACAACCATAAGCATCCTGTTTTATAACATCCATAGACATCAGTGTAATAACACATCACCCTGTGTAATAATATCATAAACATCTCGTGTAATAACAACTATTAAGAGCCTGTGTAATAACTCCATAAACATCCTTTGTAATGACACAAAAAACATGCTTTGTAATAATTTAAGCAGTAAAGAGAAAATATTAAACTCAAGCACCACAGAATTCAGTAAAAGTGTGTTGTTCCACCATGACAATGCCCCTTTTCATAAGTCGGTCATTGTAATGGATGCTATGAACGATTATGGTTTTGAATTGATGGAACAGCCATCTTATTCGCCTGATCTCACTCATCAGACCACTTCTGGTACCAACATTTGGGCAGATGATGAGGTCATACATACAGTGGAGGACTTTCAGGACAGTTAAGAAAAGGACTTTAAAAGTGTCCTTAAAGCTTTTAAACCTCACTGGCAAAAGTGTATAGATACTGAAGGGGATTATGTTGAAAAATAATGCAATATATCCACCAAAAGTCGAACCTTAAATAAGAGGCTTAATCTGGGTGTGCTTATCACAGGAAAATAAAACAGTATTGAATATGGGTGGGCTTATTACAGGACAATGAAATAGTATTGAATATGGGTGGGCTTATTACAGGACAATGAAATAGTATTGAATATGGGTGGGCTTATTACAGGACAATGAAATAGTATTGAATATGGGTGGGCTTATTACAGGACAATGAAATAGTATTGAATATGGGTGGGCTTACTACAGGACAATGAAATAGTATTGAATATGGGTGGGCTTATTTCAGGACAATGATATAGTATTGAATATGGGTGGGCTTATTACAGGACAATGAACTATCATTCAATATTGACAAACTTATAATAGAACGATGAAATAGTAAAAGATATGGGTAGGCTTATTACATGACTAGGAAAATCATTATATATGGGAAGGCAAGGAAACACCATTGATTTATTACTTTACTGAACAGCAATAAATATGGGTATGTATATTACTGAACATGATGTCTGATATAAACCAAACTTGTTCACCACTACCAAGATGATGTTATATTAACAAGCAGAAACATATGCTGTCTTATCATTTGTTAAGCAACCAGCCAGATTATAATAAAGTTATTTAAATTGATAAATGTTAAATTCCCATTTTTGTCCTATGGGTATGCAGTTTTTCTGTGTAAAAAGGAAAGAAAGTTTGATAACTCAGGCAGTAGAGGGTTGTACTTTGTACTACAACAGGTGATGAGATGATCCAACATGTGATGCGATGATTCAACATGTAGAGTGGTTTGTCAATCTCCACTTCGGAAAAATTGTATAAGAAAATCCAACATGTAGTGTGGTTTGTCGATCTCTAATTGGGGAAGATTGTATGAGAAGATCCAATATGTGGAGTGGTTCATCAATCCCTATTCAGGGAAGCAATTGTCCTGTAGTGCTCGTGTCCTTGGACAAGACAAATTGTTTTGAATGCATGCGACAGGCCTTCCTTATGTTGTTCAGCGAAGTAACCACCAGCTAGTACAAGGAGATCCTGCTTAAAATTGCCCTTGCTGTTGACATGGTAATACACAAATAAACCTTTGTCTTACAGCTCAAATTAAGGTCAGACTGGGAGAAATCAGTGGGAATGGATTACCAACAATATCTCAATCGTTTATCCTGCTGTCAAGACTAATCATTCACAAGTTTAGACTGTAATGTAAATTCTTAAATTATAAAATAAGCCTAACAGGTCAATTCATAAGCTTAAACTCAAAATAAGGCGGTGGGCTTATTACCAGACAATGAAACAGCCTTGTAAACTCACAGAAAAGCAATACATATGGATGGACTTAATACCAGGAATGATCCATCCTTGATACTACAGAAGTTACAATCCCTTTGGCTGTCTGCACCCCTGGAACCATTTTTTGATACTCCGCAAAAAAATTGAAGGCACAAGTACAGTAATTCAAAGAGAAAAAAAAGACCAATCACAGACTGATACATCCTTTTGAAGATTTCAAAGGAGCAACACCATATTTCCAAGCCATTACAATATACTGTTATGTGACTTCTAGATTCGTCTGATGTACAACAACGAATAAAACTAGTATTTTCATCTTGTCAACAAGGTGTTGTGCAAGGATCCTTCAATTTTGCCATGACATGTTCCTGGGGAGCAGTGAGTGAAAGTGATCCCCTGGGGTATCGAGGATGGGTATGGGCTTACTACTAATACAGTAAGTCCCATTTTCTTCCCAATGATTCAAAATACTTAATAGTTATTTTTGTAAGAAATCTATTTTATTTGTATAAAGTAAACACAAACGGAATGAAAAATAAAATTAAAAATTAACAAGACAAGAACTAACTAAATGGAACAAATATTTTTTTCTTTTTAGCTTCGACTTCTGGGCTCTGTCTCACAGGCGGTAGTTGATCAACAGGATCATATAAGGCATATTTTCTAGTGGCTAATTCATTCATTCGTTGGTTATTGAAGTGGGTGACCTGCAACAGAAAAGAGAAGAGAATGCCAAAAATAGTATTTCTGCTTAAATTTGAAACCAAATATGCTGTATATGCATTTTTCAAATTTATCTCCCTGACTGAACTGGAAGGATAATGGAAGTATTGGAATATCATCAATAAAGTGTTTATCCATACAACATACAGACAGAAGCCCAAGGCAATGATTCTGTAAGTTTTCATTTTATGACACAACTGTTTTCTATGACCCTGAAAACAGGTCACAGCAAGCTACACTACATGTAATTATAATGAATCTAGGCCTTACTGGTCTGAAATGGAGGTCATTTTAGCATTTTTCCATCCAAATCAAAACAAGAGGCCCAATGGACTAGCATCACCTGTCTGGTATTCAATGCAATACCTTAAAGGGATATTCAGTTTATTTTAGGGTTTCATTTAACACTTTATTTTATTAGAAAATTACACAAAAGGACTTGCTTCAATTCACCACATAATAAACAAATAAACAATATTTAACCTTTGGAATGGTATTTTGATGGTGGCAATAGTTTTAAAAGTCATTAGAAGAAGTTCGAAAAAGGTACAAAATGGACAGAAATTTGCCAACTTGTGCAGAAATATCCCTCCAATGTTTCACATCACTGACAAACAATAGTCCTTGTTGAAGAGAATTTATTTGAAGGTTTTAACAACATTGACCCCCTCTGACCTTGAATATGGGTCAAGGTAATTCCTTTGTGAAATTTTATTGTGCTTCATCCCTGAAGCGTATCAGTCAAATATCATGATTCTAGGCCTAATAGTTAATCAGAAGAACCGGTTTTAAAGTTATTACAAATTTGACCAGTAACCTTCAATATGGAACAAGGTCAGTTCTTTTCAAAAATTTGACTGGCTTCATCCCAAGAACCTATTCTGATTCTAGCTACTGAGCGAGCTAACAAGAAATTCCACAGAATCTTAGTACTCACCTCAGAGAGATTAAGGTATGAATATTGAGTGAGGAGCATAAGTACCTGACACCCTTGTTATAAAACGTGCATGAAAACTGTGACCATATCGTGTTCCAAGATATTCATCTTGCCCAACATGCCAATCTACATCAAATTTGATAACCCTACATGATATAGAGTAATATGCTAAGATTTATTTTTTCCTTGAACAGGGTCGACGGTCAAATTATAGTTCACAGTGACCTTGTTATGTAACACAATATTCCTAATATGTAAGATGTTCCTATGGAGGAAGTTTAGTGTTCCAATGTAAAACAAGGTAGGAGATATGCTTAAGACATGATTTATACACAAATCACCTTTTGTCCAAGAAGTTTCTATAAAGCAGGTTTAGTGATTCCACATAAATATATAATGAATACAAAATTTTAGGAGGACCTACTTTGCTACTGACAACAAGGGCTGCCCAGGATGTATCCACTCAAGTTAGATGATCCTTCAGCAAACAGTTTCGATAAAATTATGCTCTTAATAAAATATACACTACTATAACTGAAGCTTATTGTCTCAAAATGACTCGAGTGGAAATTCCATTTGAGTCAAAATAATTCCCATTTCCCAATTTTTTTTGATATATTTGTAATTTTAGTTCGAATGACTCAAATTTCAATGAGTCGAAATTTCATTTGAGTCAAAGTGATTTTTCAGTCCCTTCAATTGTACAGGGAGGGAAAAGTCATTCTTTGTCTTGAAATTAATTTTTGTCAAAACATCAGCATGTCATCTGAAGAAATTGGTCAATATATATACCATGCAGAATGTCGCTTGTGCGTAACCCACAGCTAATTACCTTGTATAGGTCTATGTACTCACAACAAGGAATAATTACCAGTTTAATTAAATGTTGGCTTCTTAATTAGTGTCACCATCCTGTAGTAGTGATTTACCTTTCTGTGTAACTAGTAGTGCATTTACACATAAAAAGTTAGCTTGGTTGCATGCATCTTCAGGATAATAAAATGGAAACCATCAAACCAGTACAACTTTTTGAGGAAATTTGATCCCTACAACTTTGCTATATTTAGTGCTTGGACAGGTAAAAACTTTTCAGTGCTGCCTTTTTCATATGTTTATTCATTCACAGTAAAGTCACATTATTATGATCTGTAGCTTCATAATCATTTCTTGTAGCTTATTTCTTGTTTCATGTATTAATGGATGATGGACCACAGACGAATAGTAATTTGATCAGACCACCTCATGTGACAAGTTGTGCTAAAAAGACAGTGAAATTTATTTGTATCCAGGAACATAAGCACCTATCAAATTTGTGCATAAATACATTTCAGGCCTAAAGCTGCGGGCCTAGGTGTATTGTCACTTAATACCATATGGCATTAACACACCTATAGACATCCTGATAGACTCCATATCAGATTTGGTCTTTATCTCCCCATTTTCCCCTATCCTATCATCAACCCCACAATCTATCAGTAGTGAATGGATCATTTACCCAAGTGGGATGGCAAGAGCCTTCATACTCTTCTTTGAGATGTTTACATTTGGATTCTGCAAGTTTATCACTTGTCCTTTCTAGGCATTTCCAATAAGCATCCCTTGAACTATAACATTTTCTTCTACTTTCTTTGGTGTCTCTGAAACAAGGTAAAAATAATTTAACAAGGAATTGAAAACAAGGTGTTAAGAAGCCCTTTTGATTCATATGGCATTTCCAAAAAATAAAATATGTCAAATATAAGACATGAGTTAACCAAATTGAACCATAAATAGGAAATAAAAAAATTAATAATGATAATGAGACTACAAGGTAAGTTTATTGTAAATAAAAATACATTGGAGAAACCAATGAAAATTCAGATCCTGCATTTCAAAACACATAATTGACATAAAAATGCAGAGAGACAGCTAAAATAGCATGCAACTTCAATTTCTAGTCACACTTCATTGACAATTTGCTCTTCGACCCATAACCTACAGAAGAAACAGGAACACTGCTGGGTACAGCAATTCGATACTTAATCATTGATAGGAATAAAACAATTCGATACTTAATCATAGATAGGAATCAATGTCCAAAGATGAAATTTGCAATTCAAATCATCTTCTTTTATCTTGATGATAATAAGAGACTGAGTCCCGATTGGTTTTTGTACACTGATCCCTTTAAATCAATTACACAGAGAGCAGATGATAAACTATTTACCTGTTTTCTCCAGTGGGTTCAATCTACCTATGTTTTTGCAGAAAGCTGGTTTTAGTGTTATTGGATTTTCAAGAAGAGTACTTTATAACATTTCAGAGTATTCAAAAAGTTCAACAAATGAACTTTCTGTAAAATATTTCAATCCAGAATAAGTGGCCCATTGGCCGAAATAGCCATCTGACTCTAAACACCTATACATGAAAGAGGCCAAATAGGCATATATTGCTCAACTATTATACAAATTTATATATGGCATACAAAGAAGACATTGTTGGTTTATAAAAACATTGGACTCGTGTTACCAAGAATACTATTGCTTGTTGACAGAAGAAATTTGAAGCCCGTCATCCAATTATGTTAAAGAACCAATATCAACAGCCTGGACCTTCTGGTTATTAGGAAGAAGTCATTCTAAGACTTTAACACATTTAACACTAGTGACATTAAAAGTAAGTCAGGGTAAATCCTATGAACAATCTTGGCAGCACTTCATCAAAACATGCCACAGGCATCATATCAGCATCCTGGACCTTTGGTTATTGAGAAGAAGTTCTTTAAAAGTTTCAACACAACTGACACCTGTGACCTTGAAATTGAAACAACTTCACAAAAGAGAATAAGTCAAATATGTGGTTTTTTTCGGAGAAAACATTCTTTTCTTAGCCTGATTGTTTTGTTTTTCCAAATCCTATTTTCTGATTATGTAACCGGTATCATCTGCAGCCCTTGGGATATATTAGTGTGATTTCATATTGTGTTATTTTTTCACACTATTCCAGTTAACTACATAATTCTATTTTTCAGTGATAGACCTGCAAAGTAAAGTTGTAACGTGACATACCTTTTATTTGCGGCAGTCTCCATCTCTCTCACATGTGTCGCAGTGTCCTCAAACCGGAAGTGCCTCACAACACACCATTCATAGTATGCCTGCGCAAAAATAGTTTATTAATTTCACATTTTTATTAATATATAAATTATCCCATTGTACAGAAAATACAATTGTGTGTAATCAGGTACTTGAAAACTACAATTTGTATTGAGTTTCATTTTACAATGTTTTAGTGAGTAAAATGCGTACGAATATAGATAAAAAGTACTTAACCGGAAGTAGTATAGTCCACAGCAACATGGACGATGTTATTTAGAAAGTCACGCTATGTTGAAGGAATGGGAAACGACACGTGCATCGACTAAGCATTGAAGATGTAAATCAAACATTGTCTTTTCGCAGCTTTTTAATAACATGAACACTTTGATATAATGTCAGAATGTACTCATGATTGCACAGGAACGGAAACTGAAGAAGTATTGCCCGATTTGCAGAAACGCAAAATGGAGGGGGACGTTGTGACATTAGATGCTGGTGATCCTCAAGCCTCGATCAAAACATTTAAAATTGACAGTGAGTTACCAAATGGAAAGATCAAACATCGACCTAATGAAAACGGTTTGGTATCACATATATTGACGACTGAAAGTCCCAAACAGACCGAGAATTGTGATGCCCCCGAGGAAGTGGAAGTGTGCTCCTCGTGCGAAAGTGAAAATACGATAGATACACCCCTGACGGAACGGAGTAGTATTGACTGTGCCGGTCTTGGAAGTGATGCAGAATCTTCTTTGTGTGAAGCTGTACAAAACTTGGGGGTATATGCACCAGGGACAAGTGATATAAAAGACGGAATAGAGTATATCGTGTACAAGTCAGAATTGCAAATGCCTGACATCATGAGACTGATCACTAAAGACTTGTCAGAACCATACTCAATTTACACATACAGATACTTCATCCACAACTGGCCAAAGCTTTGCTTCCTTGTAAGTTCCAAGGAATTCTAGTATTCATCTTATGGTAAAGTACCAGCCATTTGGCTGAAGATAATTGTTGATCTGCTTATTCAGTACTGAGAAAGCTAGATATATTACACTTATGGCCCTTGGTTCAAGTGCTTGTAGATGTGTTCAAAGATCATATACATTTAATATTCATGGACATAACAGGATTGGCACAACCTTGCATATGGGTAACAATCCTGCACTTGATTGATAGTTAATCAGTTATTTACTCAAATATAGGGTCATTTGAAATATACAAGTATATCTATCAAATTGAAGAAAAATAATATTTACAAACACAATCATTATAAACAGGTGATATATTTTTAGAAGTGTCCAGAATGAAAAAGTGAAATGAAAAAAAAATGAAGGATAATGAGACCAAAAATTAGATTTGAATGTACCTTTCTGATATTTATTTTGATGGAGAGAGAAGCACTTTGACATATTATGACATGCATTTCATCAAAATGTCATATGTCAACACCATTTTTATCATTTTTCATTTTCAAGTCTCTTTCAAGTTAATTTTGTAAGTGAAATATATTTTTAGGAGTTTTTTTTAAGCTTTACTTTTTCTCATTAGGCTATGGATGGAGCCAAATGTGTGGGAGCCATAGTTTGTAAATTAGATATGCACAAGAAAATGGTACGAAGAGGATACATAGCAATGTTAGCTGTAGATTCTGATTACAGACGGAAACGAATCGGTAAGTTGACATCATCTCCAAGACAAGTAAACTTGTGACATTATGATCACGATTACTTCATATTGCTAGTTGCTGTAGTTTCGGATTTAGTATACAGTCATAATGTTATACTCGTACAGAAATCTGCTAATTTAGGGTTTAAAAGTTTATGTTATGATTATGACTGTACAGTGTAACTTGTCTGATTGCATGTTTAATAAAATTACCTGTAACACAAAAGTCATGGGCACATGTTCAATTCATGAAGGCAAATCATGATATTGCTGGGGAAGGCTTTCAGAAGTTTTAGCATGAAAACATCCTTGTGACATACCAGAGTATTTCTGTAATTTTTAGATCTGTAAGATGGTGAGTTTAACAGTTGACAAAATTAATTTGAAAATGGTAAATATTGTAAGATTTTTTCAGCTTAGTCCAGAACGCCATGTCCAAAATTTTGATGCATCCCGATACTAAGATATGGACTGGGTATTAAGAATTTGACCAAGTCCTGAAAGAAAATTATGAGTCCTGGACTCGAATAGCTGAGTCACAAAACTCACTGGAAAAGATGTCTATATTATGATTTTTAAAAAAAATTATGACCAAAAGAAATCTGGTTTTCAATTTGTTGTACCTTATACTGAGTGTATGAAGTACATGATGTATACTATCCTATACCTTCATTTTCCTACAGGTTCCCATCTTGTTCGCAAGGCAATCAGAGCTATGATACTAGATGACTGTGATGAGGTAAGCAAGTTTGAATAATAAAGTGTTTCATGCGATTGTTAGAAGTTGGGATAATCAGTAATTTTCATCTTGACTGTTAGTACCCGCTTTTGCACAATCTTTGTATTTATCAGCAGATATTCAGAATTTTCCAAAGATATGTCTTTAAACCTACAAGACAGGTGTAATGTACCTTCTTTTAAATACATTTTGATTAGACAGCATTAATTCAGACTCCATACATCTTCTTTATACCAAAGGTAACTCTTAGTTTAGGAACAAAGTGTTCTTCACTTGTAATAATCTAAGGTCAAATGGTCTAGCTTTTGAGAAGTTGTGAAAATCAGCTTTATATTTGACACTAAAGTCAAGCTTGCCATTTTGTACAGAACATCCGTCACTCAATTTTGATGTTGATACAGAGATGTTTGATTTAGTCTATGGAATTTTACATGGAAACAAGATATAAATAAACAGATATACACAATGAAATATTTTTCTAGGAAACTATTGTTTTTTTTTTCTTATTTGGATTTCAGGTTGTTCTTGAGACAGAAATAACCAACAAAGCAGCCTTGCGTCTATATGAAAATCTAGGATTTGTACGTGACAAAAGATTATTCCGTTACTACTTGAATGGTGTGGATGCATTACGACTAAAGCTGTGGTTACGATAGACTTTTTACAGAAATGTTAGTTATCAACTGCGGAACTGTTTTATTGTTAAAGGGTGTTGTGTGTGAGGAGGGGAAATACACTGGATAATTTATTTTGCATCATGCATATATACAGTTACCAGAGAGTGTGTTTGTGTGGAGTAATTTGTGTACAGATGTATGTAGAATCAAGAATCATTATCCCTTTCTTGTGTTCAAGGGATCAGATGTGTAATTAGTTATAAAATCATAATCAAGAACTGTATGGACTTACGCAAGTGGAACTGTGTCTTCTTGATCTCACTTGAAAAGTTTCACATTTTATTGCTTTGATTCATCACCAACTGCAGATCATTGAAAGCCATATATTGTTAATGCCCGCTAAGTATAAAGGAATACTGATTCTTGCCTAAAGAGAGACATTTAACTGCCAGAGTGAGTGATTTTACTTGTAGTCTTAAAATTGTGTTGATGACCTCCAACAACCAGTGAAAATCAATGTATCAAGTGCTTTGTGATGAAAAATTGTATCGGAACTATTCTTTCATATTTTTTATACAAACTTAATAACCGTGCTTTGTTTTGAAGTGTTTTCTGAAATTGTATACACGTCTGTTTTAGTTACTGTGATTTTATAAACTAACTGAAAGTAAAATATCTACTTAAGTTTCAAAGTCCCAAGTATTCAGGTTCGATGCACCTATGTTTTGAATTACAGGAAAGAGTTTTTTATGGTAATCAATTTTTGTATATTAACAAAGATGTTTGACATTCATACACCTGGCTGTAGAAGTCGTTCTAGTCATCTTAATAACAAAACTATAAATGATTTAAAAGAAAACTTATCAGATTATTTGTTACAATTCTGTATTTATGTGGCCGGGTATTTTTTGGGTGAGGGTAGAAGTTTGATACAGCCAGCAGGGTGAGATATGTTGACATTTAAAAGGATTAGTGACATTAGTGTGTCTCTCCCTAGTCAGTGTAACTAGGTCATTACATTACTACGAGAGATATTACTCTACTTGGCTAAATGTTTTTCGCATTGTTATTATTACAAATAAGATATCATTTCAAAATTAAAATTTCACTTGACAACTTGTTAATAGTTGTGTTGCGTTCAGACTGAGGTAGTCCCAGCACTTTATTGTTTCTTCAATAACGGAGACTTTCATTTTGTGGGAAAACTTGTAAATAAATGTGAAGAGATCAATACAGATAAAACAGATATGATATTTAGAACTTGATTGCATAGACACCTTTATGAAAAAACAAAGATATTCAGTATTATGAGTGAAACTTGACACGTATGTTTACTGTAAAAAGAGTTCTTAGTTATATTTTGAAATGTCATTTTAACATCTAGTGCTTAGTTATATGATATATTCTTGTAGAAATCATACAAGTACAAACATACTTGAGATTTGTTAATGTACATCATCAGAAGGCATGTAAAGAAAATTTTGTTGGAACAAAGAAGCAATTATAGTTGTGAGAGCATTTTTTTTCCCTCAAAGTCAATACAATTAACATCTCAATATCATCTTTCCTTTATTTGCATCCTAGACAAGTCAACAACCCTATTAAAACATTTTAACATGTAAATAGGACGTCAGAAATGTCAGCTGGACTGTGCTGGGAATCGATAATTGTTAGAAAAACATCGTCAGTGTTTCTGTGTCTAAAAAATTGCCTTTAAACATTGATCAATGATGAATACAGAAAATAAACGTCCAAGGAATTATGTTTGAGTCACTTGATAAAAATTAAGTAAATAGAATTTTTGTAAACCATTATTAAAACAAAGGTTGGGAGATGGGCTGGTTCTAGCAGATGTGGCATTCAAAACTTTTTACATGTTCTTACTGCCTGCTGTTAACAGCGAACTGTCTGTGTGGGCCATTGTTATATCATTGATTGTTACATACATGTTCACATTATTTATTATGCGTGTGTGGATGTGATGAGTGTGTGAATTATGTCACTGTTGGGTTTCGGCTTGCTTGTGGTGGTGCAGACACTTGTACTGGTCTTCCTGTGTTATGCAATTACCTACATGTGATCCCTAAATTGATTATCATCTCTTCGCAAGATCATAAGGCTTTCATATTTTTCACTGTACATCAGGCCATACTTCATCATTGTGTTAACTGATGCATCCTAGCTGCAGAGATCGGATTATTTACACAGAGATGCATGAAAGAGGCAGATTTTTATCAACATATAACTGGCTATATTTAATATAACACCAGGTAGGCATGGTTATCTCCCCTTGTCCAATGTCTAGCTGCAATCATGACCATTTCTATTTCATAAAACTTTGTAAACCAGTATACATTGAAGATTTTTAAAAGAAAAGTCAACTTGCTGTTTTAATGTAATTATTTAAGCACATCATTGATGCATTCATCATATAAGACTTACCAGTATAAAAACTATCAGAAATCTCTTCTACTTTAATCTAAGTTGTCTCTTACAATTGTTGTGATAACTACTGTTACTTTCAGGTAGTATTGTTACATGTTTTTGTTGGGATGAATTTAGAAAATTTTAGGAAAAATTGATATTGCAAACTGGAGGGAAAAAGTCCTATAGTTTGTATTTCCTTAAGTCAGATTTTTTTTTTAATTACACGAAAAATTATATTGTAACTGTGTTTCATCCAGTGTGGCTCAGTCTCGAAGATTCTTCCTTCTTCATTGTGAGGTTTCCACTTCCCAAGAAGGCACTCCTGGAAATACCTTGAAGTTGTTATGGGAAAAAATGTCATTGGTTATATCCTCCCAAGGCATCACAACAATAGCTAGCTCATGGAATAACTAAGCTGATGAATTATCTTGATCCTGTCTGTCCCATAATTCTGGACTATCATGTTCTGATAATAATGAGAATATTGTTGTCAGCTAGATAAGTTTTGGTCATTAAGTATGACTATGTTTTCAACCAGTACCTCCTCGATATTGTTGGAGCATACTACCAAAGTTGAATGAATTTGGCTTAAAAGTTTGTTAGTATATTCTGCGAGTATGGTATTAGTTCTCTGCATTCGAATGATTCAAATGAAATTCAATAATATCAAAAGTAAAATGATTACATGGGAATACCATACATCTGATAATACTGATGAAATATCTGACCTTGATAAAATTCATCTATAAAGGGTGTTAATATATTTCGTTGGTTTTGAAATGTATTTGTACAATGAAAAGAGATAAAGCTGTTGTCGAGATTATTTGATTAGCATTTGAACAAGTAAAGACAGCTGGATATTTGTTAATATTTGTTGGGAGGAGAGTAATGTTTGTTGGGGGCGAGGGATGTTGACTGATAGATGGTGAATGTTGATATCAGGTTTAATTTATACTGTTGTGATGAATATTGCCTGAAGGCTGTTAATCAGGAACTTTTTAATACATTTGTATCTGGAAGTTCTGTTACATTCAGTTTAACAATTATTTTAACCAAATATAAATAATGGTAATACATTACTGTTACAAACTTAGATGTTTTCTTGCTCTTAGAAGAGATCAAATTCAAAATACTGAGAAATATGGTGAAAATAAGGATGGGGGAGGAAACAAAGTTAATGTTTTACTTACTACAATCATATAAACAAAGAAATCAAACCTTTAATTTTCATCTGAATACCTAGTATGTGGAGAAGTGGTAGTCGCATATTCATTGATTGTTAAATAAGTTAGATATTAACGCAACGCAAGTAAAAATTACTGTTTCTGTATGTAACGCACAACAAAATCCTGTGATTTTACTCTTTGTCAGTCAGAACTTTATTCAATAACAGGGATGGTGTGTGTGTTATCTGTACATAAATATACATAGACGAGTTACAGACTCGTTCCTAATGGTGATGGATTATTCCTTCATATTTCAGTACATTCTGTTAAATCTTATTTATTGAAAAGAATTAAGATATAAATTTTAGATTCATTAAGCTTTTTTCAACAATTGAAAAGAAGACATATTTTGGTAACCCTAACAAGATGAGAAAAGACTACATAAACAAGTTTCAAATTAATACTTTGTTAGTGACTTCTTAATTGATTGAAATCCTGTTTTTTGATTTTCTGATTAATGATACAAAGAAACTTATATCTCAGTTTTCAATTACTGTTACTATGGGAGAGGGATGAAGGCGGGGGCATGGGGGATATAACTTAATTTTCAATCGTTGTTACTATGGGAGAGGGATGAAGGCGAGCCAGGGAGGATATACCTTAACTTTCAATCGCTGTTACTATGGGAGAGGGATGAAGGCAGGGGGAATAAACCTTAACTTTCAATCGTAGTTACTATGGGAGAGGGATGAAGTTGGGGGCAGGGGGGAGGGATATACCTTAACTTTCAATCGTTGTTACTATGGGAGAAGGATGAAGGCGGGGGCAGGGGGGATATACCTTAACTTTCAATCGTTGTTACTATGGGAGAGGGATGAAGGCGGAGGCAGAGGGGAGGGATATACTTTAACTTTCAATCGTTGTTACTATGGGAGAGGGATGAAGGCGGGGGCAGGGGGGAGGGATATACCTGAACTTTCAATCGTTGTTACTATGGGAGAGGGATGAAGGCGGGGGCAGGGGGGATATACCTTAACTTTCAATTGTTGTTACTATGGGAGAGGGGGTTTGAGAAGGGCAACTGCAGGTGTGGTGGTGATCTTTGTTTTATTAAATGATAATTTATGAAAAACTATGTAATTTAGATTTATACTTTGTTTAAATTTCAATAGAACTCTGAAAGGAATGACTATTCTATAAAAAAGGGATGTTGAATTTTGACACAGAAACCATATTAGAGATGTTCTTGCCATGTACAATAATGGTGTTCACAAGGCTACTGGTCACATACACCTAGTGTTGTTATGTTGTAATCCAGAAACTGTGGTTCTGGTTAGACCAGACCAACTCAACCAAGATATCTGTTGCTTGTATGATATATAAACTATTTTAAGAAAAGAAATATTAGGACTGCAATGTTTGTAACATTGATTCATATTGGAGTTGTTCCCCTTGATCAGTATTGTACTGATAAATAAAGGTTTTTTTAAAAATACACATGTTTGTTTTGTTTTAAATATTTATTTCGTTTTCCTGATACTTCCAAAGAATACTCTGCAATTCAAAATGGAGTTCGATGGCATGGATATTAAAAGCAGTGAAGAAGTGTGAAATGTTGCAATTTGAAAGTTTGGGTCACTTATACAATCAAGTTCGTAGCTCCAAAATGCAGTTATTTGTATGATCATGTTAAGCACTTCATGGGTATTAGTAGCACAGAGTTATCCTGCGGGATCAAAAAGACTTTCAAGTCATGTGTTTAAACGATTGTATGAAAGACACATATAAACAGTTAATTTAATAAATATATTACTTTAGTAATATGTGGTAATCTATTACATATGACCTGTTTAGTGATACAAGGAAGAGGGGTTTGGAAAATCAAAAACTGACCCAGCTTAATGATCAATTTTTCAGAAGTAATGATTACTACAAGTAATTGTGTTCATTTTGTTTTGGTGCTACTATTTTGAGCATTTAGACCTACATGCTGCACCTGAGGTGTTCAAAAGTTCACCAGCAAATCTTATAAGATATTTCACAGATTGAAAAGGGGCATTGTATCTGTTACAATACCATTGTAAAAGAATTTTTAAATGAACATTCATTTGTTAGAAATCTAGAATAAGTTTAACTGCAATGACCTTATAAGGCAGTCTTTTTTTTTTTTTTTTTTTAAATATGCCCTCAATACTACTTCTGGTTCTTCAATCCAAAGGCTGCAATCCAATATGGCTGACATTCAAACAATCACTTCAAACAAAATGCTTTATAAAATTCAGTCACTTTTTATTGTTTGCCAGTACATATGCACACATTTAGGTATAGAGTGTGATATTACCTGAGTCTATGGTTTATAAAGAGCACATATATTTATACTAGCTTCTTTCTAACATGTCACATATGTAATGGCAACCACCATGCTCAGTAATGTTATGGGTGCACATGCTTGAACATAAACACAATTGAATTGAAGACAATTTACAAGATCGGGTAGGGTTATGTCTTGTGCGATCAAAATACATATGCAAGGAACATATTTATTTATTTTCATTTGCCATTGAAAACAATTTGTGATGTTTCATGTTTGACCATTTTATGTAAAAAAAAGATACATGAATACTATTAAAACGACCCTTTTCTTCCTCCATCCTGTTAAATCATCATCCGATCTTGTAAATTGTATTACCGCATTTAGAGCAATACAGTGGACCCTATTATCACTTGCTTCACACCATGTCTAAATGAACATTTCATTTTCATAATGTTTATTGTAAAAATTTTTTATTTGTTTTCTTTATATAACACATTTCACAAAAGATTGCAATGAGCTGTCTCTTTTCTAGGACTAAAACCAATGCAAATTGTCGATAGTCTTGCACAGCGGCTTTAGATTGATCAGTTTAACGCAGATTTAAAACACTGTTTTCAACTACATTTAAAATTCTTTTCCAGAGCAATTAATTTGTAGTAACTTTATCAAATTTCATAGAACATATAAAAAGCACTCGAAATGAAAAATATGTTGCAAAAATTGTATGGATAGGAAGTAGTACACGTAAAGTTATAGTTCCGCATTCAAAACTATAACCAAATACATTACTGTTTCCAAAAACTTTTTCCTTCTCTACTTTCACTGTAACCTTAGCAACTACTACTTATTTACATTTTTGTATCAGAAATTATTTCAAATTGGTGATGCTTTTACTAAACACATTGGTTGTATCACTTCACAATTTACCAAAATGACTGCAAGAGAAAAGACTGAACACCCAACCATGTTCGCATATATATCCAAAACTCACATTTTTCACACAATTTAAGGTAGGTATATTTGTGGTCTGAACAATTTACACATTGTCTATTGTCCTGTTACATATAAAGATGCCAGGTATCATGTGGAATTCATCCATAAAGGCATCCAGCAAAATAGACATCCCCTTAGATTGTGCCTTTTTTTCAACAGGGTATGCATGTATTATTGTAATTTTGTTTCCCCCTGTTAGTTTTACTTTAATGGTGCCATGTAAGTTCATTTGTGTACATAGTCAAGTCAGAGATCAGATTCTAGATAGTCTATCTATATCTAGAAAGAATATACCTGGTTTTCACTCACAGGTATAAAACATTTATACATATTCCATATAATCTATTGAATAATGAGCATAATGTAAAACTGTTTTAGAAAATATGGAAATTGTGAAATAAAGTTCTTGACTCAAGAAATAACTGCATCTAAGTCAAAGCCAATATAAAAAGTAAGATATCACAAGTGATAATTGAAACTTAATCTTGAAATCCATTGTACTTATCAAATCAGTAACTTATCAATGTTCATTGTAACATTAGTTTCAATTTTAAATGCCCATCAGAGGTACTCCTGTCACGTATCATTGAGGATCAAATATAAGTAGAATCTACAATGATGTGTTTGTTGAGGAAGTATTCACATACATACATATTGAAGCTTATAAATTTTCATACATATTTTATACATGTATATTTAGAATCATTTATACATATTTTTTATGATGTGTCCCAGGGAAGAAAGGCAAAATTGACCTCAATTATTTCATGTTGACTTGTGTATCTAATCTTAATAGTTTAGCTCACAAAGTTATTTTATGAGTGTAGTTGTTTTAAAGCTATTTAAATAATAGATCTGGTAATCAAAATATATATACAGATAGTCTAAATTATTCTGACATTCTGTCAACTTTTATATTTATTGGTCTGGAAACACTGATACTGTATCTAAAAGTTGATAGAACATCTATTATTGATAGAACATGATTCAGATAAATATACAGATTTGTAACCCTGGTAAAATACTAGCCGCAATATACCACTTGGCTAGAGAGAATTTCTCTTTAGCTCGATTGGTTGAGCATCAGACTAGTAAGCCAGGAGTCCCGGGTTCGATTCCTAGCAGATGCATTTAGATGAAAAATTACCTCTGTTACAGATTACAGATTGCTGTAACAGAAACAAAATGTAACTGAATTACGGACCTGACCATTTCGTCTTGATGATATCAAGTCATGATATCACTTTTTTTTTCTTTGTAATTTATGAAGTACATAAACTGTTCTAACTTACAACACATATAAAACAACTCCTGGCCACTGATAGACAGGGGTATCTTTGTTGGCCCTTTATAAGTGTAATGATATATCAGTTATTACTTTATGTTAAACAGTATTTATACAACAATAACGATTCATCTAGATATTTGTAATTGAGTTTGAAAAGGCTGAGTGCTATAGGACGTTAAGTCTTCCAAATTAGTGACAGTAAATTCTTGAAACAATTCTTCTACCGCAGACAGAACTGTATTCTGCCTGAACAACTAAAATTGTAGACCGGTGACCTGTCTAGCAATCCTCCAGGGTTGTCAACAATATGTGTTCTAAATTTCTTTTCCAAATCCTCTCAAGGGATTTAGTTGCAACTTGCCTGGAGACTGGATTACTATATATTTATCTGTTTTAAGACAATGTTATCACATTGAAAACATAGCAAGCATATGAACTGAAATGTGGATTGTTAGGTTGAAGACGAAGTCTCAAGTGAACTGTTGTGATCACCTTTTGTCCAGTGTTGTGCATTGTAAACAATTTACATTTTCGACTTCTTCTCAATAACCTAAAGACACTTTGGGTCAGTAGCATGCCGGGATGAAGGGCTACTAAGTTTGTTCAAATAAATGGCCTTGACCTACTTTCAAGGTCAGGGGGTCAAATGTGTTAAAATATTTGAATGAATTCTCAATAACCTAATGGAACAGGGTCATGATGTTGCACCAGTAGTGTGCTGGGATAAAGAGCAACCAAGTGTGTTCAAGTGAATGACCTTGACTTACATTATAGGTCATCGGGGTCAAATGGGTTAAAATCTTTAATCTCAATAACAAAATTTTTCAGGGTCATGATATTGGGTCAGTGGCATATTGGGGTGATAGGGTACCAGGTTTGTTCAAATGAATTACCTTGACTTACTTTCAAGGTCACGGGGGTCAAAACATTTCCTCAATGTCCTGGATGTCCATAGATTTGATATTGACTCTAGCAAACTGGAATGAAGAGTTACAAGGTTTGTTTGAATGAGTGACCTTGATCTGCATTCAAGGTCACAGGGGTGAAATATTCTGAAATTTTTAAACAATATTTTTTCGGTAACTGATAGGCCAAGTCTAGCATTTTGGGATGATGGGCTACCAAGTGTATTCAAAGGAATGACCTTGGTCTTCATTCA